GCCTTTAACATATGTCTGTCCTCCAGCACATATAAAAAGAAACTATCAACTCACAAGATTAGTGAGCAAGTAAATATAAACTCTGGTTATCATTATAAATGCTTACCTCCCACATCTGCTTGGACTAGAGGGGACAATAAGTCAGCGAAGTAGGCAGACATTTTTGGGATGAATTTGGCTTTTCTGTTAAAGGGAATGACTAAATATAAAGTGTGGGGTAGAGGTTTGCGTCAGGACCGAGATATTCTGAGGTACGGGACGCCTGGCCTTTTTCATCCCTCTGTAACTGAGCCTGAGTCAGTATGTCACCGTCTCCTCAGCTAAACAAATTAGTACATTTGATTGATCAAGGTTTACACGAGTAGGGGGTATTTGATTTCAAACAGTGAGGGGAGCGAAGAAGGGAGGAAGAGTGAGGGGGGAGGGGGTGGGGGGATGTAAATGTAAAGACACAGGCCGGGTGAGAGGGGGAGGGAGGGGCGAACGAGAGAGGAGAAGAAGAAAAAGAGCCCGAGCAGCTGGATTGCCATGTAAATAGCTGCGCAGATAGGTAGGGTTGGGCTCCGTGCCAAAGGCTGTACAAAGGGCTCCTAACATCTGTTTGAGGGTAGATTCCTGCTCTGTGTTGTTGTAAGAATAATAGTCTCGCTCTGAGGGCCCGTTCCCTCATCAGACAGGATCATGATCACGCATATACACTCTCTAACATCAGAGCCGCGGCCCTGCAGAGCCGAGGAACACGAGCCGGCCCGCCATCCGCGTGTGGGGACACCGCACCTCGGCCGCCAGCGTGGACGGACGAGGTGGAGCGTCGCTCAGGTAGACAGTCGACGGGCGTTTGTGACGCAGGAGCGGACGGATGTGAGGCTGCGGTTGATTAGACCCAATCCTGAAGATGCCTTGAGGAATGAGTGGCTGTGGCAGATTGAAAATCTTATGGTTAAGCAGGACGTTCACGCCATAAAACACAGCATTTAGTGGTCCAGTTTATATTTAAGTCAGCCGACTAATGAAAACAGCAAAACCACAAGTTTGGAGTACGGATAATTAACTGCTAAACCAAAATGTTGGAGACAAATGTGAAATATTCCAACCAATGTTTTCCCATCGAGTAAAGAAAAGAGAATCAGTGGGACATCGCTGTTGGTGGACCATGACAAGGATCCTTTTCCTTCTCCCAAGAACACCTGCAAGCAATTTGTACAACAAATGTTGGTTTTAGACTGTGTTCCTTGCATACTAGCGGCTTCTCAAAAGCTGCAGGGCTCCATTCGTTAGTGCTTGAAAGCAAAGCAAACAAATTAATTAACACTATCTCTGCATGGGGTGGCCAAGCAAAGCGGGCGCTGAAATGTTACACCATTACTTAAATTCGCATGCATCTGTCTGTCCACCCCCCCGCCCCTGCGCACACAGCGCCCTTGAACAAGGCTGAAGGACCACCTGCGTGAAAGAGGAGACCCTCTCTGTTATGTCTCTGCTCGGGAATGAAATAACACGGAATCCAGCTCTGCAAATAACTCACAGCGAAGATCATTTTCCACATGCTGCTTGACAAAAGGTAAAATAAGAACAGATGATGTCCTCACTCTCCTCTCGCTCTGCAGCTAAACCCAACGGTTTAACTCCCTTCGACGTTGCCGTGCTGCTTTGCCGGCCGGGAGGGGGGGACCGGGGTTCTGACCCCCTTTTGGACGCCACGTGGTGTGAGATGCGCGGTCTCACTCACTAATAGCCGCTGACACCGACTCAGCCTCTTTCTCCTGCCTTCACTTGGCTGAGGTTAAAGGGGGTTTGAGGAGCCCTATCCCATATCTGACTCTTGTGTGTGCGCCATAAGGAGCAGCAGGGGGGGGGGGGGCCTTCTCCTAAACCGGGCATCCATCACAGCAGAGGGAGGCTGTGACTGAATCCCCCATTTCCAGTATGAGATGGAGGCGGAGGGGGGGGGGGGGGGCTAACTTTCAGAAGTAGGATCTTCTGAAGCAATTTTCACAAATATCATGTGCAACAACAAATGAAGCGACCACCAGCAGCTGGCCTGGCTAAGCTTAGTGTAACGACTGGCGAAATAGCAAAAAATAAATCTATCAGCACCGTGGTCACAGATGCTACGAGCTCTAGCAGAGATGTGACGTTCTCATCAGCGAGCCACGGAGATGCTGATGGGAGTGCGTTGTTGCTTTTGGACTGAGGTGAGCCGGTTACAGTTTTTATTCAGAGCTAACCGGCCGCTGTGTGTAGCTTCATATTGTGCGTGGATCTTCTTGTTTAACTCTCAGCATGAAAAGTGTATTTCCCTCGAGATTCTTCCTTCAACCTTAAGCGAGTCTGCCAAATGCACGCGAGCCCCTCCAGCGAGCTCCATAATCGAATCAAAGCCATCGGAGTCTGTACGACGTACCGACCTTTGCTCAACCTTCTGAAGAGGACACGGGGAGCTTTTCTAATCCAAATAAACAGGTGAGGCACTTATTAGCCCTCAATTCCCGCTGCAAGTGTAGCTTCATTTTCAATTTTTGATTCTGGCTGTGACTCATGGGAAAGAAACTTCAAAGCTAAAGTCGTGCACTTGAGGTCATTATCTTTATTTCTATATCCTCTGCAGGTTCTCAGCACATGGGAACATTTTAACTCTGGATTTTCTTTTTTTGTCTGCAGCCATAAATCTGTCATGTCAACTATAAAATACAGCTTACCAGCAACAGATGTTGCTCTAATAGCTAGCAAAAAAAAATCAAATCAAATCAAAATGTACCCCTTTTAAATGTTTCTTTTAACACTTAATAGCTTCTAAGATTGATTTTAGTCTTGAACACAGGAGATGGACAGTGTACAAAAACCCAAACGTACTCAAGAGGGTGCAAGATAAGGGGGTCAGTGTTTCCTTTTAATTGTCTATTACTCCTGTTCACTCGCTCAGTCCCTTTCTCTCTTTCTCCGCTTCTCTCTTTTTCTTTTTGCTGAGACGAATCCACCTTTCATCCTCTTTTTTTGCAGCAAGGGCCCTGGTGTCTGTTTGCACAAAGCCCGACCATCCCTGACTCCTCGTCAACCCCTCGCCCAATTCATCAAGCTGAGGCCCATTGGGCATTCATCACCCCCGCCACCTTTCATATCCCGCACCAGCTGAAAGCCACTGTCCCCCCTCCGACTTCAATGCAGCCATGACACCCCCCGTAAGATTTATAGTGGCATAATTAGTAGCAGTGAAAAAAGGCCCGCGTGCTTTGGAGGGTCCATCGTACGCTTTCCCACTCAGAGGGGCTCTGAAAGAAGGTCTGCTTCTAAATAGGTGCAGAGAATGCAGAATGCCGCCACAAAAGTTGATGAATTACAAGAAGCTGGGGAATTTCTCAAAGCCTCGCAGTGACATAAAAAGCCATCATACACACTTCGGGTAGCTTTGACGTGTCATCTGTCACCAATCATGGACAAGAGAGCCTGCAATAACTTGTATTTCTTCACAGGGAAGCGGATGAGCAGCTCTGAGGAGAGAACTCCCCTCAAGACGGGGGTTTCTTAAACAGCTTGAAGGAGGTCTAAAACAACATACCTAATAGTTAAACAGTGTTATTGATGTAATCATGCCCCCCTCCTGCTGTCACCGATAGCTCAACAACAGTGAACTAATTAAAACGCTCCCGGAGTTTGTTTTCATTTCGCTCTTTGCACAGAAATAAAGTCTTTGCTAAACAGCTGCGTTTTACTTCTTTTTTTTTTTTTTTCTTTCTCCGTGGCCACAAGTTGGGACGTGTTGCCCCACTCAGCAGAGAAGAGATGCGAAATCCCCGTTCAGTCGTAAATGACACCTATTATTCATCGTTCCCGCTGTGGCGTTGTGAATTCAGCTGACAGTAGCTGGGAACAATTAGCCAAGCAATGTGCTTGAATACCAGATATACCTGTGCTCTACTTGAATATCAAAATGCAACTTTATGTGTTGTATTAAACTTTGTTTTCAGACATGAGTCCAGATTAAAATAAGGTAAACGGAATAAAAAACAACACAATACAAGAATACCAAGAAAGCAAGTGCCTGGGGGTTAAAAGAAGACCAGTATTGTTCCAGTATTTCCAAAGCGGGAAGGCACTAGTTCATTTTCAGATTCTATTTTTCCATCTAAACTGACACCACACCTGTTGCCCTCCAACCACAGACTGCATACTCTCAGCGGCTCACAGATAGCTAACAGAAACAGAGCTCATCTGAATATCTTTATTTATCTTATCTTTATACGAGGAATATATCTTTTTTTGAACAGGTCCTCCTGTTTGACCCAGTAGCATAATTTAAGCAGCAGCTCAATTGTTCCTTTGCACAGAGCGCAGTCACGTTGATGGGTTTTATGGAAGATGTTTTTAAAGTTTACATCTAAAATGATCCCTGATGAATACAAAAGTTCCTGCAGCATCTGTAGCAGTTAGATTTGATCCTTAACGCCATTAACACCCCCCCCCCCTCCCCCGCCAGTAGCCTACAAGTGGTTATACTGCAGCACATTGCAAACGTTGTGCAGAAGGGCGAGGAAGCACCTGCTTCCAGCAAGGCGCTGGAGAGAAATGCAGGAAAACGTCCAGTGGTTGGCACTGATACTTGTGCTCTTTGAAAATGCAAAGTGTATTCTGATCTTTTTGTGCCCCCCCCCCCCCCCCCCCCCCCTGTATTTCCTACAGAACATACGGCGTGACCCAAAAAAATCAGTCAGAGCCAATTACGGATTTCCTTCGTGGTCAACTGGTCGTCACAGTTTAAGATAAGCGTAATGTAACTGTTCGGCTTTGTGTCGGCGGCCCGTCGGGTTTTTAGCGAGTTGCTTCTTCTTCTGCGGCGCATTTTGAAAGCTGCTCGCAGAGTTTCCCGATGGAGGGAGGAGGAGGCGACGCGCTTTTATCGGACAGCGTCCGAGCGCAAACAGAAGCGCAGAAGCTGTGAGGAGACACTGCTGGACTCGGATTGCCTCCGTTGGGGAGGAGAGACGCGGCTTTCTGCGGGAGCAGTGACAGGAGCGTCATCGGCGGTGAAAGCTGGACTCAAAGCACACATCCAGTGAAGAAACTGATGCGCGCGAGAAGGGATGCCAGCCAGGCGTGGCTTGTGTTTGAATATCCAATGTGAGAATGCGTGGGGAGTATGTATATAATAGAGTCTCTCCATCTGATAAACAGAGATATCAAACTGATGATTATAGCAAAGGACGTGCGATAAAGTGAAGGGACGCTGCCTCGCTGTCTTGGAGCAGCAACCGTGCGCCGGCTTTTACGCGTTGGACTCGTGTAAACTTTTCTCTCCCTTCCTTTAATCACCGAACATTTCAAATGCCGTCGCTTAATTTGACAGCTGTGCAAACGATGCCAGAGGTCGGAAGTTTTCTGGGGACGCTCGACTTGGATTTACAAAGCTTTCCTGCACTCGGGACTATGCCTGTACCGGAGTCTCCAGTGGGCCTGAACGAGCGGCTGGGGCAGATTGAAGGGAGGCTGCAGCGGGGGTCGCCGACGGATTTCGGGCACCTGAAAGGGATCCTGAGGCGACGGCAGCTCTACTGCAGGACCGGCTTTCAGCTGGAGATATTCCCCAATGGGACCGTGCACAGGACAAGGCAGGACCACAGCAGATTTGGGTGAGGGCTATTTTTTATGCGCATTTTTTCACTTTCCTTTTTACGCATGCGATTGTCACACAATTTGTCCGTCTCATCAGCAGTGTAGTGTTATTCTCACAAATTAACCAAACCCCGACTTATCAAACACTGTATTATCATTTGACAAAAGATCAGAGTTTCTTAAGGAACCGTTCAGGCTGCACAGGTTGAAGTGGGTTTCATTAAGAGGCGTGTTTCCCATCGCACATCCCCAGCGAATACTCATGCGTGCGTCACTGTCACCTGGCGCGCAGGACAGCAGAGCCACGCACCTTTTTTTCCTCTGACAATCCCCACTTGCGCAGAGGGAGGGTGTGAGGGGGGTGGGGAGGTGGGGGGGGCAGGTGTCTTTCTTAGAGCGCAAACAACTAGAGCGCGTCCAGATCCAAAGATTTGGTAACATAAATGAAATGGGCGCCCGCGGAGAATTGATAACCCCGCCGAGTCCATTGGTGGAGAGGGGGGGGGGGGGGGGGTGCAGACACGCACATGTCTCTCGCCCCACATCCATGCAGGCATCTCACAGGTGCAGGCCGGCTCGCCTGCTGCGGAGAGAGTCGAATAACCCCAAATGAAAGCATGGCCAATGTGGAATTCAGGAGAGAGTTGACGTTCAGACTTGAGCCAAAACAAGCCGGTTTACAGGGATGGGTGGTCCGCGTGTTTGTTTCTGCCTTCACTTAGTTTTCAAATGCAAGGTCTTCGTCAGAGCTGCAAGGAAGACGTGGCTTTGATTAGAGAGACGTAAAACACACTCTTCATCCCAAAAAGAGAAGAAGAAAAATAAAATTAGAGGGATCTTCTCTGTCATCCTCTGGCATCACATCAGGTCGGGGAGATGGGGACCAGGTGGCTGCATGCTGGCCTCTGCCAGCCGGCACAGCTGGATCCTCTGACTAACCCTGCATCATAACAGCCAATAGCGTTTCATTTTACTGGTTGTGTCCCTGCCTTTGAACGGACACATGTTCACTTTACTGTAACTTCCAGTGAGTCAGCAGCCCCCAAAACAACCACTTCCTCAGTAAGTGTTGGTAACCACTGAGACGTTCCAAAGACGGGTTGTAGACATCATTAAACGACGTCCCAAAGACGGGTTGTATCATTAAACAACCCTTTTAGAATTGAAGTTTTTAAGAACAGCAAGTAAATCAAATAAATCTTTACTTGATGCATGCATGTGTCTTCTCTGCTGTGAACAATGACATAATATGTTATCTATTAACCTTCAAACAGCAATTGGTAGCTGTTTTAGCTGAAGCTGTTTTAACATATAGGAATACCAGTGACTAAACAGCCACATTGCTGTGAAATATTGGTCCCCAAGGTCCCAAAAAGATAAAGCTCCCAAGACCAGATGCATATTTTGCCTTCTTCACATAAATGGGGGCTACTTGTTGCTGAGGAGGGCTTTCCTAACCGTTTTCTGTTGTTGGTACTGTGTGTGCTTGACCTCTCAGGTATCCTGGAGTTCATCAGTCTGGCTGTGGGCCTGGTCAGCATCAGAGGGGTGGACGTTGGACTCTACCTCGGCATGAGTGAGAAAGGAGAGCTCTATGGGTCGGTGAGTCAAACAAAAAAAACAACAACCCCCTCCTCTCATATACAACCCCACCCTCACCATGCAGGCCGGGTTCTCATTCACAACAAGTCGGCCCCCCCTACACATGAGACTTGTTTTACAGCCACTCGACAACATACGTCAGCGCCCAGCTATCAGAAATAGGTTTTCTGCAGTAATCTGAGAGTCCGTTTTGTTATCACGGTTCCCCGTACGCAGCAGATGGGAAAACCACAGTGAGACACAACAAGTACGATACTTTTACAGGGTCTCACACTCTCTGTCTGCGGCGTACATATGTACAGGAAAATCCATGAAGAGAAAAGATTCCATAAAGAATGATCAAAAAAAAAAAAGAAAAAAGGAGAAGCCCGGTTTACTGGTTATTCATGTGAAGGGATTCAAGGAAACACATTCAGCAGCTTTGGAGAGAGAACCGACTTCTTCATTTAGTTTTGAGATAGGCAGAAATATTTACATATTTCCCTAAAGTGGAGACAGGAATGTTTGGAGATGTGTGCTGTGGGTGAATCGACCGGAGATTATCTCTCCGTGCACAGCTGGACTGGTGTTGAGCACAGAGAGAATATCGTGTGCTTCCCATGTCGTCCTTGTCGACTTTCTGTCACTTGGTGGTTGCTATCTGGAGACGGGGTGAGAAGAAAGGGAAGAGATGAAGACAATGAAGGGGAAGTATGTGAGGGTCACCTGGATCAGGTGTCCCAGGGCATTACCCGAGGGCCCCTCGGGGCCCCGACTCCCCCCCTGGCTCTGCACATTTCGAACAGAGGCTACTTTTTAAGCACATCCATTATGTTAAAAGTGCAGATATTGTTACCGCGCGCTATCAGAGTCTGGCATCCTGGGGCTTTGACCCTGGGGGCTGGAGGATGGGGAGGGGGGGGGGGGGGTGATGGTGGGAGTCTGTGATTTGTGGGGATGGGGGTAATTGCACACCTAACTGAGTCACCTGACTGATGGGGGGAGAGAGGGGGAGGGGCTCCAGACTCATCCGTCTGGAGCTGAGAGGCCAGAAGGTGGAAGGGGGAGGGAAACAGGTAGAAGGGTGCTTCCGTCCCACAACCGCCAGACTTTGACAAGCTTTTGATCCAACGAGGGGTGTGTGTGTGTGTGTGTGTGTGTGTGTGTGTGTGTGTGTGTGTGTGTGTGTGTGTGTGTGTGTGTGTGTGTGTGTGTGTGTGTGTGTGTGTGTGTGTGTTAGGAGGGAGCTGGCCCGGTCATGTGCCTGCAGGGTTGTGTTTACAGACAACAGCTTCACCACATAGTCGCAGCCAAGCAGAGCCTGACAGCTTATCAACACAAATTTGCTGCAGGAATAAAACATTTTTAAAAAACGCCAAAAAAACGATGGTGAGTATCGCCGTGTAGTAGTAAGAGCCACATCCTACTAGGAGAAAAAGAAGGAGAAAAAAAAGTCCAAGGGGGTAAAAAAGGGAGAGCGCAACACCTTGGAAAGGGGTCCACGTTTGGCCTCTGGTTCGGAGGTTCAACCCCTCTTCGCTGCATGACTGACTGGTCTTGGCAGGAGAAGCGGCCCGAGCGCGGCTGCCTCTTATTGTTCTCACGCACTCACTCACCCAGCAGCCTCTCACCTGCTGAACCCGCTGCCATAGCTCACGCTGCTCTGTCAGGGAACACTAGAATCTGTGATAACTGCTGCTGTGTGTGTGTGTGCGCGCTGTGTTGTTGGGAAGGGAATGATTCTCCACGCACCACGGCAGGTTGCTCCGTCTGAGGGATGCGACATGTGACTACGAGCACGTGGCCTAATGAAGCTTCCACGAGTTTCATTCTCAGCTGCATTGTTTCGTCTGTAAAAATCACGTCTCCGTTGCAAATTTTCCTACTTTTTCCCGCTTAATATTTCGTCAGTGCTTCAGTGCAAATGACGGGCGTGTGGTTTTCTCTCCTGCAGAAGAAGCTGACGGCGGAATGCGTGTTCAGGGAGCAGTTTGAGGAGAACTGGTACAACACCTACGCTTCCACTCTGTACAAGCACACGGACACGGGACGCTTGTACTACGTGGCACTCAACAAGGACGGCTCGCCCAGGGAGGGCAACAGGACTAAGAAGCACCAGAAACTCACCCACTTCCTGCCGAGGCCGGTGGAGATCGAAAAGATCCCCCAGGCGTACAGGGAACTATTCCAGTACAGGTGACCAGTGCTTACGGCGGACGAACTGGTTACTACATCCAGAGGGACGGAAATTAAAAAAAATAATAAAAATAAGGGTGGGGGTGAATATATTTCGGACGCGTCACAGACTGTTTACCCTCGACTCCCCCCTGAGGTCACTCGGATTGGGCCTCAGCCCACTGCCAAGCACTGACACAAACATCGTGCATGTTCCTGGATGTCTGGGGGGGACAGGGGGGTTATCTGGTAAAACCACTGCATGGACACAGATGGGGGAGGCCTGCCTGCCTCGCTGCGGTCATGAAAATGAGTTTCCACGCTTGGTCAACTACCACTTTTTAGAGGTAAACACTTTCATACTGAAGTGAAACGCAACGAGAAATGTGTTTGAGCAGCACCAACTTGCCGGGTGGAGGGAGGAGGGAGGAGGGGAATGGATGAATTTTTACGAGACCAAAACGGCAGATTTCACATTGTACATTTTTTCCACGCACGGCACAAGGTCAATGGTCAGAAAGTGAGACGGATGGGAGACAGTCAGGTACTAAGGAAGAATAATGTTTGTGAGACGCAACTGTAGTTTTATTAAGTTGACTTAATAATAAAAAATGAAAGAGGGGAATAAAGTCTCTTAAGAAGACTGTCCGAGGGATGAAAGAGCACTAACTGCACATCCCCGTCGCAGCTGTAGGCACACACTCGGCCTCTCTTCTAGTCATCAGTCTAACGACATCAACCATCACATTTAGATAAAATATCAAGCAGCGTCGTGGTGGAATTGTGCGCTAAAACAAGCGATTGAGATCGGGACAAAAGCACTTCTCTGAATGTGTTTGTAAAGTCATGTGATGTGCTTTTTCAGAGGGTGGTGACTTGAAATGTTATCAGGAACATTACTAAAGATGCAAGCAGCTGAGGTGTACATACGGGCGGCCTTATTTATGAGATGTACGATATATATTTATTTTCTACGTATAAAGTATAAATATAAATCTATATATTTATTTATTGCAAAGACTTTATTTTGTAATGAACTTGAAGTTATCTGGACTGTAGATTCTACTGAAATTACACCAAAAAAACAAAACTGCAATGAACATGACAATAAAATTGTCCTGCTATTGAGAACACATTGTGAGAGACTATTTTTGCTTGGATATAAATATGATGTCCATATTAAAAACAGATAAAGAATCAATTTGAATGTTGTAAATTTCTTTACTGTGGTTTTCAGCCACGCTAGAAGGAGGACAAGGCTTTGGACTGGAATATTTGATAAAGTCTCCCAAAGACATCCGTGGTCCCCTGAAGACAAATTAAAATGCAATCGATCCTCGAGTTCCACTTTGAGTTTTTTGGTTTTCACCTGATAATGAACAGACCCAGTTAAATTTTCCTTTGTCTGGATTAAAAGCATTTAACTTTTGCTGATTATCTTTACAATGAATCAATGTGAGGCCATTATGCTGCACGCTCATTATCAAAACACCTTAAAGCAAAAAACGCATTGCTTTTTGTCCTGCGGTCTGAAACAAATGGAGGTAAAAAGATACAGCAGATATTTTTTCCCAGGGACGTGCACAGGCTCTCTGTCTGCAGAGGGTCTCGGCGCGCCTACATCCACCGTACAAAATCAAATTCCTTATGCAACTGGATCCCGGCTCCTAATCGTCTTTACGCATCAGCCTGGATCCAGGGCAGTGATTGGTTGTTCGTTGCAGGGGCCTCACAGACGCCGCCGTAGCGACGTCCACGCGCTTTCCGACGGACAGGAACAGCTGCACAGAGAACCAAGCAGGGATTTGTGCCTCCAGACCCGGAGTGGTGGTAATCTAGGCCCCGAGAGCGGATGGGGTCGACATTTCAACATCTGCAATAGTTGTAATGTTTCTCCACTGGCAGATATCTGTAAGCTGTGAGAGCGAGCTCCCCCGGGGGAGGGAATGGAAAAGTCAAAGACATGCAGGGAGAAAACCCTGGCAGATTGAGAAATGAAAACAATACCGGGAGAGGCGGGGTGGGGAATAGATGAAAGATGGCAGGGAGAAGCGAGTGGGACAAAAGGCACCACGTGCGGTGGGCGAGGGACGCCGGCTCAGGATGCATCTTACCTCCAACTGTTAAGAGCTTTTCATTCGGGGAAACATGGATTACCTTCTTAAAGGGAATCGATTGAGAAGATCAATATTACTCTCCGGTCCGTACGCTTTTGAAGCTGGAGCCAGTCCGCTCAGCTTAGTTTAGCATAAGACTGAAAGCTGGGGAAACGGCTCACCTGCTTTTGTTGGAAGGCAAAATTAAGCTGGCCATCTTGTATAGCGTCCCACTCTGAAATTTCCATTTTACCGTCCAAATTTCCTTCTCACAACGCATCTGGGCCCCAATTCTTTAATAAATCACATTAGTGGGACCAATATCAAAAATACTAAACTACAACAGCCCTGATTCGCTCTCATTTTTCGACCCTAACTACCAATACTTGCACAGTTCACCACAGGTCAGGCGTTTCACAGATGTGTGCTTTACAGGTACAAGTTTCGTTTTGATAACCAGAATGAATCTCTGACCAACATTCCCATCAATAAATCCAGTCAGAGGAGAGGAAGGCATGAAATACAAAGAGGACTCAAACACAGGAGCTGCTCATCCTTTTGGTCACTTTATTAAATGTTATATTAAATACTTATCAAGATAATAGCAGATCAGATTCATGGCAAATAAATGTTGGTGTATTTGCTAACACAAGAACATTCTTAGAGGAGGGCAAAAAGGTTTCTTTACATTTATGAAATACACCTTGTGCAAACACAGGAGCCAACATGTCATTGTGAGAAATGTACATATTCCTCTGGATTAACAGCTACACCTGTTTAAGCGTTTAGAAGCAAAAATGTGCCAAAGTAGAATACAGATAGTCCGGGCGCATGCCTGCTGAGACCAACGTCCAGAAGGCATTTCTCACAAAGCAGAGGAAACAAATCAACCAGATATGGAATCAGATTTCCTTCTTCACGCCATCGAATCCACCGCGTTACACAATGCCAAGTTTAACTAAACACATTTAGAAAAAGGAAATAAATTTGGGCCCTTTGACATCTGGCTGAAGTGGCTCCGCTTTGTGAGACCCGGTCACTCACCCAGACTTGGGATCAACACAAGTGGGACATAAGCAATGAACAGGACGCACAGTGCTATGCTAGACAACACGTGACAATGAGAATGATGTCACAAAAAGATCACCGGAACCGGGCAGGCAGTTTTGAACAACACAAGCATTTTTTTTTTTAACCATGTTCAGTGACAACTAATGTAAAGACTTAAAAGCGTAATAGAAAAGATTCTGAACAAATCTTTTTTTTTTCTTTCTTTTTTTTTTTTTAGGAAATGAATATAAGGCCATTTTTTTCTGCTTTTGTTGTCTTACCAATTTCTTCTAATCCCCAGAAGGAGCAGGACCTAGCAGCGCCATCAGCTGCCTGCTTTATTACATATTGGTGAGGGAATCTACTGGGGCTAATCATTAAAAAGCGTTACATCAGCGAGTCCCGTCACGACACCGACACTGGTCCCACTCTGGTTTACTTAGGCATTTAAAAGAGTATAAAAAAAACTCCATTTAAATCAAAAACGACCCTCTTTTAAGAGAAAAACATTACAATGCTTAAAAGCATTGGGGGTTGAACGTGTTTGTCTTTAAATACATGAAAAATGAAGACATAGAACTTGAATAACATTAAGGCGGTATATACATTTATTTCCTGTTGAAATGCCTAATTTACTCCTTTCAGTCATTCGTAGATTATATTCCACCTTCTCTCTCTGAACTACGGGATAAAGAACTGAGAGCATAGCCAGCTTCAGGCCCCAGCGGACAGCAGCCTGGTCTCAAAACTACCCCACCCTCTGCTTGCTGCACCAGACGGCTTTGAGCTCTGAGCGGTGGTGTCACAGTGCGTTTGTCACTGAGTGGAGGAGGGGGGCGCCGAGTTCAGGAGGAGCTCATCTGACCCTACAGCCCCTTAGAGGGCCCAGGATTCTTGCCCATGCCTTGATGCGAGCCAAGGCCGTGGAGCTGCTGGTAAAGCCCCACCAGGTCCATCTGACTGATCCCGCCACTTCCCATCATGCCGTTCTGCATGGCCAGCTGGTTCAGGTAGTTTGCCTGGTTGGCCATGGCGAGCTGCTGCTCCTGCACCTTCCTGTTGGTGATCAGCTTCTGGACGTACATCATCAGCTGGGCGGGAACAAACACACAGACGGTTAAAGTCGTATGTCCGACTAAACATAATTAATCGTCGCCTTTAAACATCCCTAAATATTGAGGTTGAGGTTTTCACAACAACCTCGCTGGCGCACGAGGCAGCCGCCACTAGGAGGCTCCTTACCGTCTGCTGCCGGGTGAGCACTTCTCTGTACACGGCCTCCCTGCGCTTGATCTCCTGCTCCACGCTGGCCTGGTGGCCTATCGCCATGGACTGGACCTGACTCTCTGTGAGTGCTGGGTTCTCCTTCCACTGTGGGGTGAGAGGAAATGCCCCATGGGAGTTAACCTTAAACCACCGGCGCAACTATTCATTGCCGCACTCGCACACAGGAAACCGGGCAGAGAAAAGGTTAAGACGCATGTCTTCTTTAGACACTCACCAGTCTGGCGATCGTGTCTTCCGGTGACTCGCGTGCTAGAGTCTTCAGAGACGTTGTCGCTTCGATGACTTTCTGTCGTCCCTGGTTTATAAGGTCCTGCAGACAAATGAAGGTTAGCTTTTTTTTCACTTTCAGCAAACGCAACGGATTCATAAAAAAAAATATATATAAATATTATTTGTTTCAACATTCATCCTTTTTAAAATCGATCTGAAGCTTTGTCCCTTTCATCATTCAGATGTGCCGCCGTATGTAAATAGCCGCTGCCCCAGACATCGGGTAGTACGAAATGTTGGTCGAAGGAGCGGGGCAGAGCCGGGAACGCCGGTCCAGAGACTGTTGTCACAATTAGCAGTTGGGACTGAGGAATTTGGGGCGCCATGCCGTAGGGGGAGAGGAGCGAGGCGGGAGAGGGGGCATGTGGAGCTCATTACTTACCTCCAGCTGCTGGTTGGTCATGGCGGCCAAAGCCGCCATGTTGAAGTTGAAGTAGCCCATGTCCATCTGGGGGTATCCGGGCTGGTAGTTGTTCCTCACAAACACACCCTGAGAGATGAAGGACAGCGACAGAGGGGGAATCCAGGATTAGTGCATTTTAATTAGGCAGGTGTTAGGACGCCAGCGAGGACACGAGAAAGGAGGGACTGTGTGCCGCTGCTGTGTCCGACCTGAGACGCCCCTCAACCTGAAGTAAAGAGTCCTGTCCCAGTAGAGGCCAGCAGGATGCCAATGTTTGTGTGTAATTGAGCCTCTGCTGCAGATGGTTGTCCTGTGCCCTGTAATCTGTGCATCCGGTATGCAGGGCTTTGTGTGTGTGTGTGTGTGTCTCTTGGGGGCCCGAGGGGGATGGTTGGACGTGGTCAGATAGACAGGTGTGCAAGACTAAAACACACAACACACATATTTTTGGGTTTGCAATGAATAAGCAGCAACTTGGACTTAAGCTGAATCATCAGATTCTCTGCGGATTTCAGACAGACACAAAATCGAGACCTCACTTAATTTCGAAAACCCTAAATTTAGGACATGAGCCTCTCTACGCTGTGTACCAAGCTGAAGTCATCCTAGTGAGGAAGAGGGCTCCTGGGTTCAGTTTGGTTTTTGGCAAATCTGGAATCCATACAAATAGCATTTCCTGGCCACTGCCAGCCAACCCTCAAGTTGTGAAGACATTAACAGAGGCCGGGTTACTTTCCAGTTACAACGCTGATGCTGAACAGCGCATCGTCCGTGCACCAGCGGTACATCAGAAAATGTACATTTGAAGTGATGCAAACGCAATGGAAATCTTAGATTACACCTCAGCGCCACAGTTTTCTTCCATGGGGAGTGGGAGCCCTCTGTTCTATTGAAAAGCAGATGAGCTCTGAGGGAAAAAGCCTCTTAAAGCGCACCGCGGGGAGAGGAGGGAGTGCGTTAAAGGGTGCAAAAATAATCATTAGGGTGAATTAGAATCTAGGACGTACACCAACGGCGTTCAGATAACCTCTCAGGAAATTGTATAGCACGTATCTGGGTGGAGCCCTGTCATCAGCCTTTTTTAAGTGATTGTACAGATATCTCTCTCACACACACACACACACACACACACACACACACACACACACACACACACACACACACACACACACACACACACACACACACACACACACACACACACACACACACACACAAATAACAGGGGAGCCTCGCTTAGCTCACCTTGCCCTTTGATGTCACTGACTTGGAGAGTGACGGACAGGAGGGGTAAGGCCTGCACGTGTGTGCCTTTGATTTGCACGGCATGCACGTCTGTGCGCTGCTCCTCGCTTACCTTTTTCTCGGCTTCATACTCGGCCCAGGCTGCCTTGCGATCCTCCTCGCTCAGGGCTTCTTCCTCCTTGTGGTCCAGCAGGGATTCGTGTTCATGGTAACACACGATCTGGTCCTTATTATTCTGCAGCAGCTCGGCCAGGAAGGGGTCCTGCAGCAGAAAAAAAAAAGAATAAGAAAGAGTCACGGTGTGTTTAAAGAGTAGAATGGAGCCAAGAAGCGGCCGTAGTTATTGTGATGTCACCCATTCTGAAGCCGCAAATTGATTTCTTAATGTATGAGCAGGTTGAATGATTACAGAAAGAAAAATGTTTCAATACCAAGACTTCATGAATTATTGAAACACCTTTGGGTAAAACTCCAATTGTCACACAGGACAAAGAACAAAAAGAATCACCGTTACGTCCAAAATCTTAAAGTGCTGACAAACTCAATTAGTAAAATTTGTAAACATCAACAAGGTCCGCCTCTCTCACACTACACGTTTGAGCCCTTAGTTCCTCCACAGCAAGTAATCCATCTTTCCCGTGGCCAACATTTTTACTGCACCGGATATTTGGTATCATAGCAACCAGACTCAACCAGCGCTGTAACAGCCCTACCTGAGACGTCCATAAACCTTTTACGTGGAAAACTTAAGAGACCCAACTCAAATCTGATTTAACGTTCGCTTCAATAGTTCCATTGAAAATAAATTCCTGAAGAAATAAGAAAGGTCAAGAGCAGAGATATGACAACAAAGATCCCCAAATCAGGATGATGCAATCAGAGTAGATGTGTCTTAACATCTGGGCCACTAGGACAACCGTAACTGATCTCTTAAGTCTTTCCCAGTGAGACCAGCAGTGAAAAAACAATCTGCTTGAACCACCAATATTATACATACTTTGGTTTGAGGAGCAAGAAGATTTTAATTCTGCATCCATCAGCAGGTAGCACTTTCAGCTTCATGTTGGAATAAATGGGCATCAGTTAGCATGTGTACACCTGCATTGACATTGAGGCGAACAATAGAAATAGGTCAAGACCAGAATACAAAAACTTCATCTCATCCGTAATGTTTGGATAAAAACCTGAGGCGTCTCTGTAAGGGGATTAGATGTACCTAAGAAAAAAGGAATAGAATTCAGCCACATGAAACGATAAACAAATGACGTCTTCTTTTTCTCAGAGCTCCAGCTTCCATGACTACAGTGTTATTGAAAAACAATACCTGAGTAAAATTAGGGGAGCTAGAGCAGGCTCTGCTCACACAAACATGTTTAAATATATCTCCTTGCAGCACGTTTGCTTTTCTTTGTCTCAACTCGGCCGTACATTAAGCTGAAACTTTGCAATCTGGAAACAACGTCATACAGAAGTTGCATCATTAACCTCCACACGGGCCAATTCACCGAGGACCTGTGCTTTCCTCCCCTGCCCCTTTCATCTCATTCAGACAATTAGTGTGATAATGTAAACTAAAAGTCTCTGGTATTTAAAAAGGAGGGGAAAAAATGAATAACAATCCAGAAAACAAGCAGTGGTAAATACCAGACTGAGTGAAACTGATCCCTAGAATTGGGATCTGAGCTGCAAAAAAAAAAAAACTTTATTTTTAGGTCTTACAGCTACGGAGAGGTAGTTAAAAATAATGCGGCTAAAACAGGCGGGAGCAGACATGTCCACAGAGCTTCACACTCGAACGCGATTCTGCTCCTCATTGACACATGTTTATGTTTCCCCTGCATCACACTACGTGAGGACAGAACCAGGCCACCCTGAACAAACAGCCAAGCAGCAGCCGCTGGGCTGCCGCCCCAAAACGTCTAATTAGAGTGTAACAGCACAAACAAGAGTCTGTTGGCATCAGTCGTGTTCTTTTCTGCAGACGTAGGTGAGCAGGTTGCTTAAAGCCACCGGCACAGGAAGCTGCATTGAATTGTTGTGATCACACGTACGAGTCCAAACCGATCTGGTGGGCCCCCCCCCTCCAATAGGTTCAATTGGGAAAGCTGATTAGTGTTCATCACACTGTGTGGGGTAAAAAATACTTAAGAGTTGACAGTGAGCTCTGGCATTAACATTTAAACTGCAGGGAATGGACGCTTCACTCCACTGAGCCAGTAGATAATGTGTGGAGCACTTTAGACTGCCGACTGGTATCGGTTCAGTGGAGCTGCAGGTCAAATGACAGGACAGATGCTCTCATTTGAGCCCAGTGCATTCTGGGATACCCCGGTAATCCCCACCAGCAATGGCTCTGGGGTGGTCTGGTCCATCTTCTTCAGCAGTGTGCTAAATGTGTGTGTGTGAGTGCTAAATGTGTGTGTGTGTATGAGTGTGTGAGTGTGTCATGAGGCAGCACTAATGACTGAAGGTAAGCTGACCTGGGCGATTGTCATCCTGATGGAGCGCCGTGGTGAAGCCGATCACTTTACGGCGAGGCAGGAGAGAAAGTCAGAGACGCCGGGTGGGCCGGCTCTGGATTTCTCACCCCGCTTACGAAGAAATAGAGAGCAACGGGATTTTTCTTGAGGGGTAAAATTTGGCAAGTCATTTTGTTTTTTGCATCAGAGTGCGAGTGTGTTTAGATGTAATAATGGAGCAGGGTATTTAAGGCTGAGGATAAGCCCTGGGCTCGCAGTTTAGACCAAAGAATCTCAGCAGCTTCGGTCCCAATCATCTGCTTTCTTGACTCTTTAGTGCAGAGAAAAAAGGAAGCCTTTTATTTAACAAAGGGTCTGAAAATGTGCCATTAATGTAAAACCAGCTCAGAGCTGAAAGTCTGAGCTTCAGCTGACTGTTAAAGCAAAAAATGTGTCAGAGACAAAAAAACATCTTATAATTAGAACACACACAAGTTATCCAACACCCATGACATTTACCATAGTAAGAATTCCTAATTAAAGAATGAATTATAAAAAAGTGCACAAAATACATGTACAGTGTGAGTATATTCAGTGAAAGTATGTACAGTGGAAGAATCCGTTCTCTCCTTAAGCCAAATCATTGGATACATTATGAAAGTGGCTGAACTGCCAGCAGTCCATAAATGCTGTAAAGCAGCTTTCAAACGCAGCAGTTCTCACATGAAAAAGACGAAAACTCTTGTCAAAAGTGGGCCTCATGTAGACTTTACAACTTGGCACGTGTACCAACGGGTCTCTACCAATAGACCGTCAGTGACGCTCAACTGTAACGGCGTGTCTTTTTGGCCTCGTTATCAGATATTTTGTCACGCTGAGAACATTCTAAAACTCAATTTTTGCACCTAAACAGATACTTATTGAGCAGAGACTGCTTTTACCAGGCTTGTATAACCACAAGTCTATTATATGTCCGTCATTGACACGACAATAAACCTCTACTTTAGGAGAAAACAAAATGAGGAATTAAATGTGCGTCAAAGAGAGTCAAAATTGGGGAGATGTACAGTTATAGGGAACAGTATGTAAAGAAAAATCTGAGCGCATCCAAGTGACAGAGATCCAGCATTAGCAACATAGCAAATGGTTACTTGACTCGTCCAGCTGTTTTTGAATGGATTTAGAGTGTGTGCCTCTGCCAAAAACTACTTTAGATGCACAGGTGCGTTTACCATAGCAACAGCGGGGCCCAAACAGGATGCCGACAGCAGGAAGGAGAGGGAACATAGCTTTTCAAAACCCGCTCTCAGCCGGCAGCGCACAAATTATACACATAAACCTACTGGCCTTTTCTTAATGGTTTCTCTGTAGAAACGACATCAGGAGGCCGGGAGGGAGGGGGTATTACTTTGTTAAATAATACAGTTTCAGTCAGACAGTCCTGAACACGCAAAAAACAACAACAAAAAAAAACAACAACTACGTAAAGATAAAAGTAGGCAGGTAGACGTGTTCAACTCCCCGGTTCTTTGTCACCCATGCACAGCCGATTTTCTCATCCGATCGCTTTTCCAGAGAAGACACAGATAAGAGTCTGACAAAGGAAGCCAGTTTCAATGGCTAAAAGGTGAGGGGATGTCAGAAGGTGAAGGATTGTGAATTCCTCGGCCCATTTTATTTTTTCTTCTCTGCTTATTTAAAATATAAAAACCGACTCGCACAAATAAAATTGGCGGCGGAGCACACAGACAACCACCACTTTACACGATGAAGATCAACAGCCAAACAGATCCATCTTGTACGAGGCAGACACAGATGTCGCCACAGACCAGAAAGCAGGAAACGCTGCCCACGACAAGCTGGGACTGGGTTCACCAGAAAACTAAGTCGCAAACCTTTTCAGCACAAAACATCCCATGTGATCCACTCAGCATCACGGTATATGTACAGCCCAAAGCATTAGAGAGGGGAGAGGGGTTACTTTCAGGTCCAAGTGACTTCCTACTCCTAATGAGACAAGCCCGGTGTGACTTATTGCTCCAATCTGCTCCTGTCTATGCTGCGGTCGGAGACCAGCCTCCCCACGGCCCTGCAGTGTACCTGATGAAGGGCTAATGGCCGCTACAGACGCCCCCCGCTGAGAGCACACAGCCTGAGGTCCGCCCGCGGCCTGCCAGCTCGACCCACTAAAATGCAGAGAACTCTGCGGAGCTGGTTTCAAGATTGGCCTCAAACTTTACTCGTCCTTTTATAAATGGCCACACGCTAGATTGAAGGGGCAGGTGTGAGTAACAAGTGTGTGTGTGTGTGTGTGGTCAGTGTCACGTCTGGGCCGCGAGGAACTTCTTTGTCATTAGGAGGAAGCGCTGCCGCTTCCTTTGTCTCCAATTAGTTTTCTATGAAGAGCGCAGAGACCTCTTAAAGAGAGGGGGTTCAATAATGACCCTTCATCATGTGGGCCAGGCCAGTGGCAGAAGAAGAATAACAACCTAACAGAGCTCGCTTTGAACATTCTGATAGTGTCGAGGCAGGCCAACAGGTGGTGGGGAACAGACGGGCGGTGTAATGCTGGACGGGGAAGTGAGTGAGAACATCACTTAGACACCATGGGGATGAGGCCGGTGGGGAAATAACTACGGCAGGTAGCAGAAATGAAGGACGCTGGGGATAGTAGAGAATCCTCAGGAAGAGTTTCCTTCATACGAGGCCTCACATTAGGCAAAAAATCCTTCCCAGAGAGAAGAGTTTAGAAGAAGAAGTACGCCTTCCCTCCTGCGCAGAGAGCTGTTGGCTGAAAGTGATCGAGGGTGTCTGACTCATCTTCACATCATTCCAGACGGCGAATTCCTTCCGTAATACTACAGTCCTGCTGCCACATAACAGTTAACCCCCCCCCCACCCCCCGGCCAAAACCGGTCAGCTCGTTAAAGAGCCTGTCAGCCTCTCCGTCTTTGATACCGTGTCACATAAATGTCACCGGGCTCATTAAAAGATCATACACATCTAACAGGCCGCGGCTCAATGAACACATCTTCCCTCTCGAAATCCCACACTGTGCTCCGCAGCACGGCAGCTGGGCTACTCCTGCTGGGGACGATGATGTCGGCTGCCCACTCAGTGGATTCCTGCGTTGCTCCTACCGCTTAATGCCCATGAAGGGAATAGCGGTAAAGATCTTTCGAAAGTGTAAATGGAAAACAGATTTTTCCTCCAGGTGCACCGGAAGGCCTCTAGACTGTCCATTGAGAAAGCAAGCGAGTTTGACAGTGTTTCTTTTATCCATTCTGTTTACAGATTTACCCATGTCAAAGCAAAACAAAGAGTTAAAACCACTTTAGATGACCTGAATAAGCCCAGGGAATGCTATAAAGGGGAGAAGTGGTAAAGGTTGGGAGTAATTCAAAGATCAACAGAACTAAAAGACAGCAGGGAATTGATGAAAAAAAAGGAGTGCAGGTTTATAAGGGGGCAGCAGCAGTGTTGCAATGAGGAGACTATTTACTATATAACAGTAAACACACATCTGTGCAGCTGTGCGGGGTCGGACAGCCCTTGTAAGGGCTGCGTGTTCTTATAAAATTGAAGGAGGAAAAAAAAACAGGGGGCCCAAATAGTGTCACAGCACCTGCATCAAGGTGAGGAAAAGGTGAGCGCTACATTATGAAAGAAAACCAGGGGGAACAGAGAGTTGCCTGACAGGTCAAGTTGGACACAAGCTGGCTTGAAACAATCTCAGTGCACACATGGCATATCTACATAGAGTTTACCTTAGGGAGCATAGGTGTGGCTTTCTTGCTCTTCTTCCCAGAGGGATCATCCAGCATCTCCGGCTCAAAGGTGTAGAGCTCTGCCAGCTCCACGCCAGTGAAGTGCCTCTCAATCTGCTGCTGGTCCACCACCCGGAAAGACAGGGACTGTTTGGTCACCTGCCGATCATAAATCTTCTCCTCCATTGTGCCCTGGAAGAAGAGGATGCAATCAGAAGATACATTTCACCCTTTTTGTGTTTGTTTTGTCTGCAGAAAGTACCAAAACAATTTTCAGAGGCTCACCTGCGCCAAGAACCTGTACACATAGACTGTCCTGATCTGGCCAAAGCGGTAGACCCTGAAGATACTCTGGACGTCGTAGGAGGGGTTCCAGGAGGCGTCAAAGATGATCACCCGGTTAGCGGCCACTAGGTTGATACCAAGAGAGCCGGCTCGCGTTGAAATTAGGAACAGACGACCTCTGTGAAAAAGAGCTGAGAATTAGTGCTTTTAAAAATCACACTGAGAATCTTGTTTTCATTTTAAGAAATCTGTGAATTTTCAACAGTTTGTTAACGTGCGGTCATTGTTTTGTGTTGTTTAGAATAAAAGTGGACTACCTTGGGTTACTGGTGTCATTAAACTCTTCAGCCCACTTCTTCCTGGTGGTGGCGTTGGTGGAGCCGTCCAGACGATAGTAGTCAATGTTCCTGAACCACTTGCCTTCACCTTTGCAGACATTCGACAGTTCAGAAATCTTTTTATGTCCCTTATGTGTCGGCATCAACTTTTCATGGTCAAAAAGACTTTGTTTGGGTCTTAGCAGGCGGCGGAAAGATGGTTGGTTAGAGGCCAGCCGTGTTTAGCTTTCAAGATGGCCAACCCCCTACCAGCCTTCATAACCAACAATTCAGTATGTTTCCAATTACGGCACTTTCATTACAAATTACAAACCCTTGAGCAAACATTTTTTTGTAGAATAAAAAGTCAAGGTCTAATCATTTTCAAAATGAAAGTAAAAACAGCTGCTGGAGTTTAATTAGGAACATGACCTTACACCAGCAGCGGTGTGTGTGTGTGCGTCTCTGTGTTTAAGGGTAATAAGCACACGAGCGTGTAGAAAAATACATGTTGCATGCGGCCTCTCTTACGAGTGAAACCTGCATCTCCAGATGAAAATACTTCAGCCTTCTCCAAAGATAATGTTAATGTTTGAAAACAGATCTCAGACGAGTCAGTTCAAAGACTACGGTGGAAAACCACAGAAGTGAACCTTGAGATTCACTCAGTCCAAAGTCAGAAGCTGGTTTACATTAAAACTTGCTCTGCGATTTTAGCACATCATGAAACAAAGACCAACCCATCAAGAGGATTATTAAATTATTATTCTACAGGGAACACTTTTAACACTGTAGAAAGAAGAAATGCACCTTTGTACGGGGAAACCTTCTCATCATCTTTAGCTCTGCAAGCCAGCTCCAGGAAATCCTCAATCAGGTCCAAAGAGATTAGAGACTGACTGAACACCAAGCTGCGGACCAAAGAGGACAGAAGGGGCCACTGTGTCACTTTAAAGGTCTGAGTATCTCAACACTTTCCACCAACACCGCAAAACATAAAAAGATGCTTTTCTTCATTTTTTTGCATTTGATGTGCACCTAGAACACAGACCCACTTACACTTTTTCGTCCATTTCCTCGGCCATGCGCAGGATCTCAAACAGTAGCACCATCTTTCCAGAGTGCTCCAGGATCTCGCCGTCAGCGTCGGCAACAAACTCTTTGTGCCAGTCGTGAGTGGGGCTCCCATCGGCAGAGTTAGCGGGACGGGCTGTGGGTGATGCACAGGTTGGTTACGGTTATTCTCCATGCAGGCGGTCGTCTCAAAACCAGTTTACAATACAGGGCTTTAGTATCACAGCTACCTCTGCTGTGCTACAGCTGCTGTATGTGCAGATGTTAGCTGACAACACGTCATTTATTTATTACTTTGTACTTTCAGTGACGTTTCCAACACTTCTGGTGAACTTATTCATACATTATAAAATTACATAAATGTAATGAGAGATGGCACGATGATTATTTCGATCAACGGTCGTTGGAAGCAGAACGATATCACCTTTAACTGGCGAAAGCCACAAAGACTTAAAACACACATTAAAACATAAAAGAAAATAACAATGACAGATTTTCAAAGGGTGCGTATTTAAGAGTAATCATTCTGAGTAGAGGCTAAAACAAGTGATATTCCCGTTTGTGAAACAAACTTACGCTCTTCTACAACCTCTGGTCTGTTTCGACCCTCTCCGTTTTTGCCCCGAGAGCTGGTGTTCCACTCCTTGATGACCTCCACGTCATCACTGTCCGAGTCATCAGATCCTCGCTTTTTTCCCTTTCCTTGCTTCTTTTTCCTATTAGGAAGGAGGAGCAGTGGAAGAGACAGGGTCAGTGAGAGCAGCAGATGCAAAAGAAGGGCAGTTAAATGAAGTCATCGCTGTATGAATGTACACAAAAGGGGGGAAAAACCGAGGGTAAATCCTTCTTTACTTTTTGGCCTTCTCGTCCTCGGAGGTCATGCTCATTGACGACTCTTCGGTTTCTGAAGCGATGAACTCGTCCATACTGTCCTCGTCAAAGAAACCCTGCGAGATGTAGGTGAGACAAACAGAGCTGGATCAAGGGTGGGAATTATGCTTCGGGGAAACTTTTGATGCTGCAGTGACAATAAACGTATCGTTGTACCCTGTAAGTGTCTATTCTCCCGCCCTTGGTGTGTGTGTTTTGGGTCAATGTTTTCCAAGGGGTTCTCTCAGTGAGTGTTTAGGTCTTATCTTGCAGAGCCCTACCCGGTTTTCTTTACTGATGTAGTCCAGCTGAAGGCACCAGGGATGGGTCCAGATTCTGCTGAGCACCTGGAAATCCTGGAAAAGTTTGGTCCCCGCGCGGCCTCGGCCCCCCTCTAGCGCATTCCCCACACCTGCACACAAGGGAAAGAGTGTGAGGAGGAAGACGGATGAAATGACCTCCACAGTGTGCATTTTCACGTTCAAACCCAAGTGGAAAAAGTAATGCAACGGACGCAGAACATTGATATATTCCTAATCCCCTGACTATGGACAAACTGGAGTAACACAGATCTACACATCCAGATGATACAACTACAACCAGAAAAACCTACAACGCGTCGCATCTGATGTGCTCAATCAGCAGATTTATGAATGTAACGGAGTGGCCGCCGCTTGGCGTGTTGGCCCGCACTGACCCAGGGAGGTCAGACGTCAAGGTAGGCAGTGGCGAAGCCGTGGCTATTCCACTTCCTGCTGAGCGATTTGTGGTTTTGTGTCCAGAAACAGCCACAAGTGTGACACAACTACTAGACAACTTGGCGTAATGAGTTGCAGCGCTTACCACCAAACTCCCCCCAATCACTACTCCTCAGAAATAGCGCCTTCCTGGGGTTTTTTGTTTTCACTTTGGGGTTTAAAACCTCTGGCCCCTTCTTGTTCTAAACCTTTTTTATGCCCCCCCTCCAGTCCCCCCCTTTTTTTTTTTTACCTCCCCACCCTCTGTTCCCTCTTTCCCAAAGCTCTTCATTAGGGAGACGTGGGAAACTGGGCTTAAACCCTGCCTCCGGCACACTGCCAGCGGCCTCTCTCTCCCTCACACAGACACACACCCCTCCTGGCCACATTCTGAGAGGAAAGTCCACTAAACGACTTAACAAGCAGCATGAAAAGCAGAGCGGAAAGGCCTTCCTTTCTCAAACTGCTGTCGGAGTAAAAACACAAGAACTTTTAAGAGGAACAAGACCGCTGCAGAAGGATTCAACTCGTCCTAGAAAACACACGTTTTCCAGTGGAATTCTCAATTGAATTTGGTTCTCGTGTGAGACTGCTTAATTCCTGTCTGGGCAATCGGACAAAGCGTTGCTAGCAGCCCCTAGAGGCCACGCTGCTCCTGACACCCTAGAAAGGTCAAAGTAGTCTGAACCGAGCCGGCAACCGGCACTGCCCATCTGAAGTTCATCCTCAATGTATTTTCTCTCCCCGCATCTCTAGGAGAAAAAGCCTTGTGCTCCTGTTTATCAGAGTATGCGTCTCACCTGTGAAGTGCTCCAAATAGTATCTGTAGAGTTTGCACTGAATCGGAGTCACTCTGATCGACAACACATACTCGTGTTTCGGTGGCAGGAACTTAGTGAGCGCTGTGTAATCTTTCCTCTGCGGAAAGCAAAAAAACATCAGCCTTTAAGGAGGCACAGAGGTAAGTCAAAAGGTGTATTCCTGTAGCAGTTTTCTTTTCGTCTACCTGGACACAACCGGCCAGCATCTCATAGAGGATGTGAGCCCTCTTCTTCATGATCCGGACATCTTGCAGTGTGGAGTCGGCACACTGACCATTCTGAATGGGGTTTATGAAGCGGTTCCTGAACTCCTTAACGGACCCCAGAAGGTTCTCCTTGATGAAGTTCACCATGCAGTGGTCTGGTTAAGAGACAAAAGGTTGGGACGCTTTAGATACATTCATACAACCCCCAAAAATGTTGATCCGACAATCTTCGTAACCAGGCAGTCTCACATTCAACAAGGTTATTTTGCAGCGGTGTTCCAGTAAGCACGATCCTCCTCCTCGTCCTGATGGAATTCATCGCTTTGGACACAGCAGACGCCTCGTTCTTTAAGATGTGACCTTCATCACAGATCACCATGTCGGGACCTGCAGGGAGTGAAAAGGTGAGAGAAAAAAAAAGAAAAAGAAAAAAAAATGTTCAGCATGAGGAACAATTACTCATTATGAAATCAAAACTGAAATCCTACAAGAAGGGCGTAAAACAAAAACTGATAACTAGATTAAATTGGATGTCTTTTTGTCCTCGATTGAGATGTAAACTAAGTCCTAAATTACAGACAGAAAACAGGCCACTTAAATCACAAAAACACATGTCAAATGAAGACTGATTTGACCAATTCATGCAGTACAGCTAAACATTTGTATTAAAATAAATCTAGATGCACCAAAACACACATTTTGAGACAATAAAAAAAAAAAGGGAAAGTGTTTAGCAATGGAAAAAAAAAAGTGATTACATTTGTTCACTCTCGGGGAAAACAGAACACCCTCACACATTAGACGCACGTTTAAATGCATTTCAACCTGCGGGTTAAAACACAGCACTGTACCTGGATCGACAAGTGTCTTCTGAAATGTCTCTTTTAGCTTCTTGCTCTTAGTGTTCCTTCCCTGTGTCAAGTTCCTGTACATCTCATAGCCGATGATCATCACGCCACCACTTTCTTGCCATCGCTGGAGGGCGTAGGCCCGGTCCTGTGCCTTCTTCACTGTGGCCAGCTCGATCACCTGGCAAACATGACAGAGAAACCAGGAAAAATAAGAAAAGCACACAAAAGACAACAGTAGCTATTTGAGAAGGTTACAGAGGCGTCTCCTTACCTCTAAACTCTCGTCATCCTTCAAACCGACTTGCCACTTCTCAAACTCGTTGAGCCAATTGAGCACAGTGTTCAGGGGACAAACCACCAGTGCTGTGGTGAACTCCAGCTTCTCACAAAGCAGCAACGTGTGAAGTAACGTCACCACCTACAGGGCAAAAACACAACTTCAGTTAAAGGGTTAGGTAGTTCAAATGAAATAAACCGGTAAAAGGTACATCAGCATGTGCCACACTTAGTGAATGGGATTGAGACACATCACACACACACACACGCACACGCACGCACGCACACGCACACACACGCACACACACAGTGTGCTCTCTCTTCCACACCTGCAGAGTTTTTCCCAGACCCATGCAATGGGCGAGAATGCAGCCGGAGCCAGAGGACTTCTCAATCTTCTTTACAGATTCACAGCAACAGTCCCACATGAACTGCACCCCTGAAACGAAACGCAGGAGAGGAAATCATTCCAGAGCATCTCGCTGTTTTGCATGTGAGCTCATTTTGGTTGGCATAGGCCCCAATGAAACCCACAACGCAGAAAACACTAACAATTGTGGAATTTGAGGATAAAATGAAAATTAGGTTTAAATCTATTTCTCTGGGAATTTCATGGAATTCCAAATAATTGCAGATGTTGATGTTAATATGAAAATCTGAGTTTACATACAATCATAAGCATCTTATACCGCACATAAATCGAATGAACAGAAGTAAACTGTGGCGCTGTGTTTCAAGTTAATTTAGGCTTTGTTCCTTTGCATGACCAAATTGTTGAATTATTTCACACCGCTTGGCTATTCACTTCTGACAACCACAGAAGTCATAACAAGAAAACTGGGAATAAAAATGAACATTTTTTTTTAAATGGTCCGTACCGTCAACCTGGTGAGGTTTGAGTTTTGTGACAAGGTTCCTGTGCACCTGCACCAGCGGCTCCTTGGTCTCTTCATCCTCATCCAGGACCAGTTTGGTGGTGATGGGACAGGGACAGGTTACGTGGGAAGACTCCTTCAGCACAATCACCTGAAGAAGGAGATGCCAAAGACATAAATGAGAGTTTAATTTAGAAAGAAAATCAATGAAACATTTCCTGAAAAACAAAAACATAATTTACAACTTCAACATGCGTTTTTATCCTATGATATCCTATTTGTCATTCTCATAGTGGCACCTTTTGTCAATTTATTATCAACAATCAATCACCATTAACTACATCACATAGCACTCAATCGCATCATATACATGTCGGTGAATTAAACTCCTAATAGCAGACTTTTTAAAACAAACTATTATTCAATGCAATTGTTAAAAGTGAGTGATCACCCGGTGACTTGCGACAGATGAAAACAGGCTGTTTCAAATGGGTTGCGGATCAATCAGTGCATCCCTTCGGGGAAGGCGTCAGCTTACTGAACACAAAACGTATGCCTGAGAAAATCAGCAGAACAAATCAGTATTACCTCTCGAAGTTTCTCTCGGAGTGCTTCCCTCTCAGCGATACGTTTCCTACGGTCCTCCTCTTCTTTCAATGCGTCCCTGGTCTCTGTCCGCAGCTTGTCGTCCTTCAGGATTTTGCGGATCTTTTTGCGTCCTTTGTGGTCCTCATCGTCCTCGTCACCGTCTTCCTTTCCACTCTGTGGGAGTAAACATTGAGTTCAGCCCCTCTGATCTTCGGCACCTCGGGGAAGGAAATGCACTGCCTATGATGAGCGGCCCAGCAACCCCATTATTAATGTGTGCCCTCAATATTCCTCACAACACACTCCAGGGACAACTTTATGCGTCATGCATGACCTGAGTAGCAAAGCGTATGTGGGTCCATTTCGTACACTTGCTGTAGAAGGAAAAATAAACTTTGGGGTTGTTCCAAGACTCTACCTAGTGCTCTGCATTTTAAGCACCTTCTCGTTGCTGGAAGAGGAATCCTGAACCTTGATCCTGCGTCGTTTCTTCTTCTGCTGCTGCTGCTGCTTGGAACTTTTCTGTTTTGCTTCGTCCTTCTTCTTCGAAGATCTGCAGACACAAAACAGAATCCATTCAGCAAGCAAGACCAAGCAATCAATCGAGGTCAGGTGGGAGTATTGATCTCATCTTCCCACCTGGTCTTTCGACGCTTCCCTTCGTTCTCTGACTCACTGAGCTCCTCGCTTATCCCCGACTCTTCGCTGGCTTCGGACTTCTCAAAGTCAGAGTCGGACTCTGAAGAGTCATCGCTGCGGACTGACGTAGAAACAAGCAAAAGACAAAAGAAGTCACTCCACGCTATCAGGGTTCAGAGGATCTGTGCTCATGTTGTTGGACATGACTAGTAGGACAAAGGAACTCCTTTCAATTACCTTTCTGCCCAGACTTCTTCTTTCCGCCCTTCTCTTTACTGGAAGCCTTCTCCTCTCCTGATTCACCCTCACTCAGCGAGAGTTTATGACGAAGCAATTTGTGGCGTCCTACGCGTTTCTTCACTTCAGCACTGGAATCTTCTGAATCCTCGTCTTTAAAGAGAGATACCAACAGTTTGAGATGGTATACAATGAAAGTTGTATATAAAAACTAGCGGTGTTCTGGTGAATTAAACTACCTTGTTGCTCTTCTTCATCGTCATCATCATTCTCGCTTTTAAATTTCTTAGAGGACTTTTCATCCTTCTCTGGATCTTCATTATCGGAGGAACTCTCTGCTCCAGATGAATAGTTGGATTTTATTTGGGCGAGAAGCATTTTCTTTGCAATCCTTTGGGAGAAATTAAAAAGAAAGACACGCAAAAAAAGAGGTTCACAAGAAAAATAATGCAAAAAATGAATCACAACAATTGTGTTTATACAGAACACGCATAATTCATAAACTCCAAATTTGTTTAAAAATTACATTTAACTTAAATTAAAAACAAAATATGGACAAAACTGAATATTGACAAATTGATTTCATTCTTCTGAAACAAGTGACTAAACAAATAATGGATTACATCAATTGGAAATATGATTCAAAATGCTATATCTACTTTATGTACGTTAAATAAGAAAATGGCTCTCTTTAGTGAAGACCTGGCTGTGGTCCTGAGCGAATCATTTAGGTTAAACAGCTCTGATCCTTAAATTAACAACATCACCTAGTTCAATCAAAAATAATAAAATATGAAACTTTGAATGATGTAGAGATACCACTGGATTGCCTTTATGTTTACAATTTCTTGCTTTGTATATACCTGTTTTCAGGATCATCGTCATCATCTTCACAATCCTGAGGGACTCGGTCTTTATCCTCCTCTTCATCTCCTATACAACAAAACAGCACATGTGATGTTAATGTACAAACTCATTTGACATTTTGAGAAAAGGGCCATTTACCTTCTTGCCAAGAGCTGCTACAGCTTGTGTAAAAGAAAAATGTCTGCCTATACTGGCTCTGTTCCCATGGCTACACAGGCTGCCGCGGATCACCGGTCTCATAAAAGACACACGTCAGTGGAGCGGATGGGCCCTCAGCGTGGAGCTGCACACATTTGGGTACACACCGTTTCACAATAGACCACTTTAGGCCAGATTCACCGTTCCCAGAAAGCCTCTGCAACGCCGTGACAAAAACACTTTGTGAACATGTGCGGCAATGAGCACATCAACAGGACAGGACTCCGCCAATGACATTACATGAGGAGTCACACCTCAGCCATCATCGCTTTGATATTACAGTACTCTGTAAATTCAGTCAGTGGAGTTTCTCGCTCAGAGAAATACATACATACATCTTGGGGTTTGGGTTTAATTTCCCTGCACATGCTTAGCATCTTGTTTCCAGTATGTAACCCTAATCTGGTCAGAGACACATCTCAAATTTACAAATTAAGATTTAAATAGTGGACTTTAGAAATGCCGCCAGGCAGACTTTGTGACCTTTGGACACCACCACGCTAGCTTTCTCCTTGCTAAGCTAACAACCTGCTGGCTCCAGCTACACATTTACCTACAGACATGAGATGGGTACAGAGAGCCATCGCACCAACGGATGCAGGCAGACACTTGCGAGCAGACACACACAAGAGATCACGCGCTGATCAGTGGACAGAGCGTGCGTCCGCGACAACCAACCCCTCCCCCCGTCGGACGGCCCCCCAAAATGTATTAAACCAAGGTGTAGCGTTGTTCCTTGGGTGTTGGTTGTCATTAAGCCGCATTGAGCTGCAGACACATGGCTCCATTTCCTTACACGAATGACGGCAGATCGTTTGATTCTTTTCGTCTTTATTTTACGCAGCAAAGCGTTTACTAAATATAGAAATATGGATCAATTCTGTCACACAGCAGATAAACAATATGCTCTTGTGCCTCATGCAGCTCTTCTGTGATGCACCTGCTGCAATCATGACATCAATAAAACGAGACTAACAAGGAGCATCACTTCAACTTAAATGCTTTTGTTACATACGTGTACAATATGTTACATATCTTTAGTTCCTGCACAATGAGCATACATCTAAAAAAATCAATATTCCCAGAAATTCCAATGAACTAATCGATACCAACTAAACTTTTTTTTCATAGCATAACATTTTTTATAGTTTAAAGTTCAAAGCCATAGTTTGAAGCCATGTGTTTTTTATTGATTTATATGTATAGTATTGTTTAAACATTTACCTTGGCATTACAAAAAAAAAAGATCCATTCTTTTTTGTTTCAATCAGTTTTGTGGGGGGTTTTCTCCTTTTTCGTTAAAGTATCGGTTTAGACACCAGTATCGTTTTAAAAGTATTGGTTAATCACCAGAATCTGAAAAAACCCAAACGATACCCATCCCCATACACGAGAATGTTCAATCTCCTCATTGAACTCCTGGCAAGGAGACAGAACTCGGTGCCAAAAACATTTTACTTGCAACTGCGTAGCTTGTGGCCGCGGAGGGCAATTGAACTCCGCTGGAAGGAATTACCTGACGACTGATGGAAAGCCCCACTTCCTCCAACCACGTTATCCTCCACAATGGGCTTGATCTTTTGCTCGTCGCTGTCCTCTGCGGAGTCACCTTCAGCCTGCTCCTCCTCCTCTTCTTCACTGGAGGACAACTGCTGCTTGGAGGCTTCCCTGAGGCTCCTTCCCTTTCGCTTAATTTCATAGGACCGTCTCCGCTTGGCCGCATTCCTCTCAGGGGAACCCTTCCCTTCTTCTTTGGCTTCATCTTGCTTCTTTACACGGCTGGATCTCCTCTTCGATGTGGCTGCTTTACTCTTGGTCTCCTTTTCCTGGTCGGAGTCGGTCAAGTCTGAGCCATTCTGTTTATTCTTCTTGGACGTCTTTTTACTTTTGATCCCCAAGTCTGAATCAGAGCTTTCAGACTTCCTTTTGCGTTTGGTAGCTTTGTCTGTATCCTGTGTGGATGTGTTTTTCAGTTTGAATAAACACTTTTTAGCACTTGTGCCTTCCTGTTCCTCATCCGTGCTTTGGCCAGCTGCTGCTTTCTCCAGCAGTATGTGAGGGATTTCATCAGAGTCAGAATCCATTTTGTTCTTCTCTGAAATCTTGGTCTTCTCTTTCTTGTCGTTACTGGATTTCTTGGAGCACTTGGGCTTGCCCTTACAATCTTCCTCTGACTCGGAGGATTCTTCCTTGCCCTTATTCTCAGCCTGCTTTCTCAAGGGGGTAGTCTTCAATCTACTAGAGCGACGGCTGGGTGGCGGGCTGGCTGTCCTATCTACTGCTTTAGCAGCGTTGTCTTTTTCCTTCTCTGGCTCTTCACAACCTTTCTGAGTCTCCCCGGCTTTCTCGCGGTTTCTGGAGGAGGACCTGGAACCACGTGTCGTCACAACCGGCACTGGAGTTAGTTTGACAATGAGGTTCTTCACCTTGGGCTGGGGAGGTCGAGAGTCTTTTGAATTTCCATTTAACTTTTTAACAGCATCTTTGACCAAATTGGTATCAGACTGTGAGAGCATGGTGGAATCCGCAAGGCTCTCCACCATTTGAAAAAGCTCTTCGGGAACCGAAGGAGGCACAGACATAATGTCTTGATCCAGAGACATTTCACCAGCTGACACTATCCCGTCATCACATTCTTCGGTTTTAATTATCTTTTTGGTTCCATCAGCTTGGGTTTGGTTCTCTTTTGTTTTAGGCACATCCGACCCTTTATGCTCATTATGCTGCCGCCTGTCTGCCTCTGCCGCTGCATGGTTAGCTTCCTCCGCCTCAGCGTGGTCAGCCTCATCATCCTCAGCGTGGTCAGCTTCATCATCCTCAGCGTGGTCAGCTTCATCATCCTCAGCGTGGTCAGCCTCAACCTCCGCCTGAGCGTGGTCAGCCTCCTCCACTGCTATGTCAGGGACCTCTTGTGGCACTACATCGGCCTCCTCCTCCCCTACCGCTTCCTCCTCGGCTAGGTTGTCAGCTTCCTCTGCAGCTAGGTCGTTAGTCTTCTTCGCAGCTGGATTGTCGGCCTCCTCCGCTGCGAGATAGTCAGCCTTTTTCGCTTCTAGTTCGTCAGCTTCCCCTGATGCTAGGTCGTCAGTCTCATCCAATGCTAGTTCACCAGCCTCCTCCTCTTCATCAGCTATATTATCCAGGTGGTCGTTTTCTACTGGATACACAACATTTGGGCTCTTTCTCACAATATGCGGTCCTTCGTTACCGTTCTGCAACTCCATGTTTCTGAACTCTGGCACCAAAGCCGCCTCTAAAGCACTGTGGGCTTTTTTCAAATCAGCCAGCACTGCCCTGAAGGCTTTCAAATGCCGATACCTGATAGACTTATCTTCCTGCTTGTCAGCAGCCTGTTGGATGAACTGGATGAATGTATTGTTCAGACCAGTTGTAGTTTCAACAAGCTTTTTTGCTTTCTTTATAAGTTCTTTGGGCACCTGTAGTTTTTTGTAGGAGAATGTCATGCTCCCTGAGCCTTCGGTGTGTTCTTTCCCATTGAGAATTGCTTTGTGCTCTTTGACTTCTTTGTTCTTGTGTCTCTTGCTCTCGCGTTCCTCGCTTTTGTCTGGTTTTCGTTCCTTGGCTTCTTGTTTTTCCATGATGCTGTGGCATTTGGAGACAAGATCCTGAAGGGGCTCTGGCCTGCAGACGTAGCAGTGCCACTTTGAGTTCTCATCCGTAATGACAGAGAGCTCCTTCCTGCCCAGATTGCGCAGGATGCACTTCTTGCAGAAGGCATTGTTACAGTAGTCACAGCAGATGAGCTTGCCACCTTCAGCACACCACCTGGGCAGGGAAAGTTGAGGACGTTAAGCAATTGAAGTTCACATATATTATTGTTTCCAAAACGATTGATAAGGACCATGAGAAAAAGTGTATAAAAAAGGTCCTATACTTTGAACACAATAGAAAAAATCTTAATACTTCAGACTCTACCTCGACTAACAAATTGTAGCACTTAAATTGTACTTGTAATGTCACTCATCTATAGCAAATTGTAAATTGGCTTATTTGAAGAAATTGCACTTTCTTGTTTCTTGTTCTCCTGAGTTTGTACCCTATGGTTGAATGCACTTATTGTACGTCGCTTTGGATAAAAGCGTCAGCTAAATGACATGTAATGTAATGTAATGTAATACTACCTTAATTAATTTTGTTTAGCAAATATAAAATGTTAAATCCCTTACCTGCACTGCTCATCCATCCCATCAGAGTCTCTGTTGATGTCATCACTTGTGTAATACTTGTAGCAAGACTACAGGGAGAATACATTATTTCATCAGACACCAATAAATACCTGTTGGGAACTTCCCCATAACGGACCATGAGAACAGATTCATTGTACATTCAAACTTCCCCACCTTGCAGATGAGTACTTTGAGTGCAGGATGCTCATACACAGAGTTGCGCTGAAACTGGTATACTTGTTTACCGCAGGCAGTGCAGTTCACCTTCTCCTGCAGGGTATCATCTGTGAAAGGAGATCAAAATAAACCCATAACTTTCACTGCGGTCCTTTCACTGTTTTCTCTACTTTCCAGTTATCAAGTTAATTTAAATTCCAAAATGATTTCTTTTTTAAATAATAAAATTAAGCCACCTGTATGTTTCTGTTTAAAATCTACTCGGAGCTTCATGGCACCTTTATTATCATTTCCAGCTGGCCTCATCACTAAAGTGCCTAAACAGAGGAAGAAGCAGGTCTCAAATCAGCATCATCAATATCATGATTAAGGCCAATACGTAGAGCCTTAGTTCATACCTTTAGATACGTTGCTAGTATTATTGTCTGAAGGATTGTCAGAAGTGGCAACTTCATTTTCACTTTCAGCAGAGGCATCGGAGTCTTTCAGTCCAGTGTGCTTACATACAGTAGTGGGCTTCCTAAAATTAGTTGAGACACCAAATTAATATTTCACGCTGTTTGTGTGAACCCACAAAAAAAACAACAACGAAAAGACCATAAGCCACGTTAACCTTCTGTTGCGAGAAGAGGAAGCCTTCATAGTTTCTGCTGAGCTTCCAGGCTGAGGAGAGTAAAAGACATATTTAAAAATAGCTGACAGTTAGGAATAATAACACTAAACATGTGCCTTTAATGAATCATAGCTTTTATATATATATATATATATATATATATATATATATATATATTTTTAAATACACCGAGGGCCAAACAAATTGTCTGACAACCCAAGAAGTTGCAGGCTTACCTCCTCTGCCTTGTCTGACATTTGGTCTGGGTGAGATTCAGAAGAAGCCAGACTCATTTTACCTGCAGAGCCATTTGACACATTTGTGATGAACACAGTGCATAATTAAGATATTCTACAATGTTGTGCACAAATAACAGATTTTTAGTTTGTGTATACATGTATTTTTTTTAAAGTTATGCCAAGTCTAGATACTGAACAGTACTTGACATCACAAAAGAGAGAAACCCCTGGAATGTTTTGGGTTAATGAGCCGTATGTATTGGAAATCACCCGATTGCATTGTATTCTAAAATTAAATACGTCCGTTATCTAAAGCCGCACGCGTTTTCGCGCCTGTATATAGTTAGGCTTAATAAATGCAGGCGATCATCCGTGTTTACTTGTCGGCAGCTACCGGCCCTAAACAGGGGGGAGGAGAGGGGGGGGCAGCGCGCCCTTCTGCACTTATTGGCTCTGCGCTGCTTCTTTATCCTCAACGCACCCTCCATGTTTTGACAACACGGGAACTCCTGACTTTCCCTGCACGAGTTTAGGCTCGCTATCATTACAGGGGTTTGCGGTCGCTGTTAAATTGAGACTACCCCCTTTTCCACCGTCGCACACATTCCTCGTTTAATTCCAATCTCGGCAGTGCATTAAAAAAAATGTCCAATGCGTGTGCATGCAACGGAGAATGCAAAGCGCAGGCCTCCATCAAAACGATGCCATGGCAGGAAGCAGCGCGCTAACCGCAGCCTGGCAGTAAGGTTACCTGGAAGCCAATAGGCGTCCAAAGTAGCGCAGTAACAGTTTACTTAGTTAACACGGAGAGCGAACAAGTGTGGTTCAAGTGGTTGTTTACTTTCACAAATATCCCGTAAGACATACAACGTCACACCCGTCTCTGCATGGATACGAATTTAAACCGTGCCGGCTGCGCAGCTGGTAGCAACAACTTAGCTAGCCTAGCTTGCTAGCTAGCTAGCAACGGGCACCAACGGCCCAGCTCGCAGTTGCCGTAATCAATGCAAAAACGACTTGTCTAAACAAACGGGCCAAACAGCGTCCCTACCTGCTGTTCGCCGTCGTCATTTCTTGACTGATACACACACGTTTGGTTTTCGGTACAAAGGGGCACGTTCAGTCTAATTTGCAGATGTATGATGGTGCATCGGCAAGAATAGCCTCAGAATACCGACACAACTCCGGTCAGGGGAGACAAAGCAAGGGGACCATCTTGCCGGATGGCTGTGGACGCAGCAAAATGGCGCACTAGCCTAAATTTCGTTCGCTCGCCTATTGGTTGACCGCCTCCGCTGCTCTCGTGCTCTGATTGGTCCGCGCTCACCGGAGCTTGTTGATTCGTTTAGCCGACCAGGGAATGGTTTTCTGTGGGAAGTGAAACGCTGCTGGCTGAATTCATTTGTTGATACAGTGGAAGGCGCGTTGTTTTGGTTTTTAAGCGAATCATTGTCATTTACATGTTGAAACATTTCATAATTAAATATTATTCTTTATTGTTATGTTAGCAGTGTCTTCACATCACACGTTCAGAATGTATGACGGTTATTCTATGGTCATTGTAATGTATTTTTTACATTGGAATATGGCTTATACGAGTAACCAGGCCTTTTTGCACAATGTTAGCAAGTGCAGGAAATGTAGCCACATCCACACCAATAGCATGAGACAGCAGGGGTCTCAAGCTCAAATCAGGTACGGGCCGATGCAGCCCACCTCGACCGAACGCGGCCCAGACGGCCGACGAGTGGGGCGCGAGTTTGAGACCCCTGAGTTAGAGCCTTCACATGCTTTACAAAAGCTATATTTAGAAAACCCCAATGCCATTTAGAACGGTTCAAATCATTATATGTCCTGATGGAGTTTAGTAATATCTGGGGAATGTAAACAAGCATTTGGCAAAATTAATCTTCTCTTACCCAAGTTCTGAAACATTTGTAAAACGTAGCTGCGCTTTTTTGTTCTAGTTGGTCATTTGCCACTTTAGTATAGTTTCTAAATATGATGTTGCAAAAAAAAAATAATAACCCTTGGTTCAAAGAAGAATTAAAATCCTAATTGAAAGGGAAAGTACGAACGCAACAATATCAGCCTCAATATGTCCTCATTAGATAGGTAAACAAATACATAATAATGTATTACTATGTTATACAGTAGATACGACTTGACTGCAACCCACTATATATAATATTCAATATTATAATCTAATGATGTTTTAAAAAATCCTGAAATGTACCGTTTTATTGTTAGCTGGTTGAGTTACTTTTAACTATCTTTCGTACATTAGTGTGGGCCAGTGATTCCGAACTAGGTGATTTTGGGGAACATCCAAAGGATATCACAACACATCTGACATTTCCTGAGTTGATAAACGGATGTTTACTCTGTGTTTGCTGTCTGTTGAATGCAGGTTCATATTAAATATTTGTGCTCCAAACAGTTACTTAACTGGATACTGTTTAACGGTTGGCACGTCCATTTTAGTGGTACTGCTAAACAACTCACAGGCATCTAGACGTGAGGGCAAAAAAAAACAAAAAAACATAATTATTTGGAGCATTCCAACCTTTGTGACTTGGTAACCACTTAAAACTCTAGTTCTGTGATTGAAAAAAGTTACAAACACCACCTGAAGATGGAGCTGCTCAACAAAGATGATCAGTGTCTGTTAGCTGTGGAGATGTGAAGGTGTTAGTTCGAGGTGAGGTATATTCAATCAAACATCTGTTGCAATTTTAATTAAGTAAACTAATATGTATTTCAAATTATTGGTATAACTGATGGTAACTGTCACCAGCAAGTTCTCTGAGGTTTGAGTTGATAATAATATAATAATGTATCATATAAATATCTGAGCGAGAGTAAAAACAACAATTTATGCAGGACTGGAATTTTCTCTGTCAGTCAGTTTCCTGTTCTGTGTGGAATACAGCTTCAAGCTTGACTCAAAATATTTCCTGTGTTCTTAGTCATTTTGACCAAGAACCTATAAGTGTAGATGAAAGTGTAAAATAGAAAGTCTATTTTAGTTATTTCTATATATTACTGGCATTATTAATTTCTTAGTGTGTGCTTTTAAATTGCGACAAGTCAATCCAGTGTGAAAATGAGTATAAGCATCTTTGTTTCACAGCAGATTATTCAATTCACCAATACTACACTTAACACAAGTAAAAATGATATTCCGCTCTTAAATGTTTTGACCACGATCAAATGTTAACACGAGTTGGTGACACGTAATGCATTGGGTGTATTTTGCCGATAAGCGATTACTAAGCAACTGCTTACTAATAATGCCATGAACCTGGTGGAAGATTGTAAAAGAAGATACAGATCATCCGTTGATCCTTATTTGGCGTCTTCTTCCTCTGACGTGTCTTCACACTGTGGTGTCAGTCAAGATATAAGTGTCAAATTAAAGTGTGTGTGGTATTCTCTGCTCAAACGAACATCGCTGTCTGGCGGTCTCTTCCAAAGTCATGAAGCACATTCTAAGTATTACGCTGGTGATGATGATGATCTTCGCAGCATCGTTGTCCCACCTGGATGACACAGACAAAGCCAAGCTGACACGGATTATAAACGAGACGGAGAAGTTACTGAGAGAGACGCAGGTAAGAGAACTACAAAACTGCACATGGTTGGTTTGTTTGTGTTATAATATACTGATGTACGTATTCTGTCATTGAAGGGCAACGAAGAAATCACACAAATACCGCATGGAGGATGTCATCGAAATTGTAGTAAGGTACGTTAAAACCTTTTTATATATTGTGAAAACAGGAAACATGACGTTTGTCTGTCATGTGTCAAAGATGTAAACTTGCATTGAACCTTTGAACTCAACAAGTTGAACTGGTTTCTTCAGATTAATTCACTGCTAATAAATGTGTTTCAATACCACTTCTAGACTAATTGTGCTTTTCTCTTAGATGTGTTTGTGTTCGGCTGAAAAGGCTCTGCATATATTCCGATCCAAAGTGCCCAAAGTGTCAAATCTCCTTCGTCTGCTGCAGGACTACACGGTAAAGAGGAATTTAATGTGATTGTAAAAATGTGTTCAGACGAAATTCAGGAATTTAATTCCAAATAGTGACTCTACAAAGCATCTGTTCTAACAACAAATATGCTCTTTAATGTCAAATGTGGTTTTTCTTCACCATAGTTTCGTTTCACACTAAAATTGTCTTTTTTTTTTTTCCAGAGAAAGCCTAAAGAAGACTGTCAACTGAACACAAACAGGCAATGTCACCTACGGGAGTTTTTGACCAGAGTCGCTGAATGTACAAGAAGGGAACTGGAAATAAACCCTAAGACATAAGTCACTTCAATTTATTGTGACATGTAATATTTATTGTCCTACATATCCTATTTTTGTACAATTTGTATTTATTCATCAATAAATTATGCCACAGTTCTTCTGTAATTAAAGTCAGTTTTTTCCCCACGTCAGCTTAAAATATTGTCAGTAACCAGTTTTAAGGTGAAGAGTAAAATGTTGAAGACGGAGCTACGCTTCAAGGTCTTCCTCCTCACCAACAGTAGGAACCACAACGAAAAATAATGTGCTAATTGTGGTCGATAAACCTTTTGTTTTATGCAACAATAAAAATATATGTAATTTAATAATGAGACTACAAGAGCGACAGAAATGTGAGATACAGCATGTAAAATAATTTAATAAACAAAATATCCTAGGGTTTGATGTATGTAAACATTTGACATACATTATGATACAAAATAAATCAGTTTGTGTCTACAGAACATCATAAAATACATGATTTGCACCTCATACTACTGCAATAAGCTAAAGCAAATAGTATGGAAGATGCATTTCAATATAATTCAGTGTTCTGACTTTTGGAGGTAAATAAAAAATAAAAAAATGACTTGCTTGGATTAGCAGATGGCAGTAACATAATAGCTGACCGGCATGCATGCCACTACACTCCTGCCTTAAGAAGAAATAGTGTAATTCACATCTCAGTTACAGCCTTGGGACTACATACCCTGTCTGAGTGAACTAACACCCTTCATCAGAATTCAATTATAACATATTGCTAGCAGCATGGGCTAGTAGTATGAATCTGCTTCTTACATAACAGGAAATCTGTAATCTCTAAAACTCATAAAACAGTGTTGTATTCATTGCAAAACATTTTGTGTTACATACACACAAAACAGTTTCAAAGTGTGTGAATTTAGTTTATAGTTCATATCCACAGCATTTTTGAACATCCTCTTTTAGTGTGTGTGTAGTCGTTTTGAAAACCAAATGTGGTTAGACACGATCATTGTAATTGTCGTCATGATGTACGAGAGGTGATAAGTTTAAAGAAACTTTAATGAACAGAAGATGCTGCCAACAAAATGTGTTCCAACGATACATCAAAATGTTGGAGAGCCACATAGAAGTTTTAAACTTTAATACAACTAACAGGTCCTCTTGGCCAAGAGGTGTTACTCCTGTCACAGGTGCCACTCTGTCACATTTCGGCTATACAGTGTTGAGATAATCTTTTAAATAACTAATTCTTCAGACTCGACTAATGACTCCGTTTGCAAAAGTAACACAGAAGATGCGGTGAAACGAAGCTTTCCGCTCTGCGGCCTTCACTGCAGAAGGGATTCGATCACTGTTTCTGGCTTTGCAGATCTTTTCCTGTGCAGAGATAGACACGATAAGTGTTATCAACAACTTTAGAGAGCTTTCAGCGCTCTCGTTTCTCAGAATAACCGTATTTGGCGTTATCATGACATAATATTAAGTTTCAGATACACCATGTATAATGAAGGCAGGAGAAACATAAGCAATAGCTCTGCGGTTTAATCAAAGTAGTATTTGATGTTGCGTAACTCAAGTTCACACATGGTTGTAATTGTAAGTGCTCCAAATTTGACTATCCACGTAAGATGCATGCAACCATACAACCACAAGTACTTGGTGCGCACACACACACACACACACACACACACACACACACACACACACACACACACACACACACACAAGACCAAAGTGCCCTCGTAGCATTTATTTCAGCCCCGATCATCACAATCACTAAATGAACTGTATAGTTGTGGGGGCGGTGACAATATTTGAAGACTGGCTTTTAGCAAATGTCCTCCTTGTAAGAGATAATGTAAAGGCCAACGGCTGATAAAAGAATAAATCATGAGGCAGTACACAGTGGACTGCTGTGTCCATAAAGATGCGGAGCCTCAGGTTGCCTTTGGTTTGTAGGTAGATTACCTTCGGCCGGTCTTGGGTCGGCCACTTTTGCCACTTTTAGAAGTTCTGGGTCTCTCGAGCTTCATCAGTGACTGGCGCTTGCTCTCCTCTGTGTAGGCCAGATAGACGTGGGACAGATCCACCTGAGATGGCTGTGAGAGGCATGGACAGAAGATGACGGGAGGTCGATAATACATTGTCACGGAGGGAAAAGAGGGAAATATCAGTAACATCAGCCATTATACAAAAAACTATGTTGGGTAGGAAAAATAAATGAGCAAAGAACTCACATCTTTTTCTTTTTTGTCTGGAGCAGGAGTCTGTTTTCTCATATTGTTGCCAGTGTATGCCACGCATTTCTGGAGAACACACGGTACAGTTTTAAAGACAGACGCTAATTGAAAGCAGTCGTTAACTCAAAGTTTGCACCATTAAGTTCATGTCTGTCGAACTGCGAACCACAGTGTGTGCAAGATTTATGCAAAGGGAGCTCACCAGCTGCCATTCTCCAATGTCTTCATTCCAGTGCATGTAATTTTCTATCATCTCCTACAAAGAAAAACATGAGGAAATTTAAAAATAAGAAGCCAGGAAAGACATTGAATCCCCTTGAATCAACCGGTACTATGTGTGGGAGATCCACTTGGCTGTACAACGTGTGCTCGGCGCCTTTGTTTCTATACAAACCTAAAAATTCATATTGATAGTCAATGGATCTACTGTATTAGCTGTTTTTCTGCCAAGGCCTTGTGTCGGGTTATTGTACACACAACTGAAAAAAACTTGCTCGGTCAGACAGTCGGGAAGCTACAAATGTAAGTATGCATTCACACCTGGTATTCCTGGGGAATAACGTTGTCTACGATGAGCATTTGGAGACGCAACTCTCGACTCAGCTCGCGAATGTTCTCCAGGAGGCCCTCGCTTTCTCCGTGATGTTCCTGCTGTAGATCTGCCATCTAACAAAAACACCACAGCCACTGTAAATCAACTGGCTTTAATTACCCTGATCAAATTGATACAAACTTCAGCCATGGGGTTGGTTTTAATAATCAAAGCTCTGATTGAAAAAAGTTTTTCATAACATCGTCAGTGGGAATTTGGTGACTCATACCCGTCCAGGCATTGTACCACCATGCTGATCTGACACTGTATAATCCTTGTTATGCTTACTTCGGATTTGGCAGCCATCAGCATGGTCCACACTTTCTTCAGCTTCTTGGTCTTTCCTTGAGCCTCCTCCTGCAGACTAGTGTACTTTTCTTCTATGTCCAGACGCTCTTGCTATTTTAAAGGGGAGCGGAATCACAGATTATGCACCAGTCTGCTGTGGCCTGTGACTGTGAATACCTTTTATGCATTAAAAGGCAGAAGTCAAGATGTCGATAAAGTGTTTTGTTTTAATGAAAACAAGAAATTATTTTCAAATGCAGTTATTTGCCCTTTTGACATGGCACAACACAAAGTGAGTGAGTCATGAGGTGAGCTTCTAACCACATTTTCCAACCACAAAGGCGCAGCCATTCAGCGCAAATCACACCTCTTATAGATTATCTGGTATCTGATGTCATATTTTGGTTGTTGCTGCTGAATGTGTCTGTACTTTTTGAGTTTAAAAAAGGATTCAATATGACGTAACAAAAGGACACACATCTATGTAATGGTTTCCGAATGACAAAGTAAGAGAGCACTCCTGATCAGCTGATCCCATTTGGTAGTCGGATCCTTGTATTTTTTTTTTTTTACCTCTTTCTCCTCCAGCTCCCTCCGCAGCTTCTCCGCTCTCCTGCGACGTTCTTCGAGTTCGTTGTTGGACTCCTGCAAAAGCTTCTCCTGCTCCTCAGCCTTGGCCAAGAGGTCCACCCCACCTACAATCACCTTCTTCTCTAAGGCGGACAGTTTATCCAGCAGAAGGTGATGCTCCTGCCTTAGGGGTTACAGGAGGATCAGGTATTGACTGCGTCGATGCCATATTACCACATCCAGTATTTTAAAGTAATTTAGTGAAGACAATCGATTTAGATTTGTTAGATTTTTTAGATTAGATTTGTATCTTGGATATCAAAATTGAGCAAAAATACAATTTCTTCCAGGACTCACTGGGCTTTAAGGAGGTCCTTCTCCCTCTTTTCCAGCTCTGCTCTGGCCTTATTCCTCTCCTCCTCCTCCATGTCCAGCTTGGCCTCCAAAGCCTTTCTTTCCTCTTCAATCTTTGCCTGCATCTCCACCATCTTGTCCGGGGAAACCTTCTTCCTCCCTTGAGAGAGACACAACAAACCACAGTGTCTTTGATTTTTAAATGTATCTTATACTATGTATAAAAATATACTATGTATAAGATACATTTGGATGCATCTTAGATCGTAGATATGTGTACAATAAACCCATTAACCCTGCTTGTGCAATAGCTACTGAAACGGTGGCCATCTTGATGGTTTGTGTTTGAGTAGACACCGTTACTAGAGGACAACAGGACTGTGTAGATTCTTACCCCAACCGCTTTCTTTTTGAATTAAGAGCTGCAGCAAACCGGACTGATTTCAAAACCGTGTTAATTTAGGTCATGCTTGGGAGAAAGAAGGAGAAATTGAACATTTGGTCGTGCCAGTTCTTTGGGAGGATCTGTTAAACTGCAGAAAGAAAGATTTAGGACATGGTCAGCTCAGCAAGAATGGAGGGGGGGGGGGGGAGTGGTTACTTACGGTACCAGTCAAAAGTTTGGACACACTTGAATTGAAATGTGTCCAAACTTTTTACTGGTACAGTATAAATATACTGTTCAACCTTAACTATATTTTAAGTTTAAAGCCCACATTGGATAGAAAATATGTCTCAATTTGGACAGACATATAGTGGCAGACTATTATGGGACACATACGATGAGAACACGTGTGACGTTGAGGTTATGATGAGTCTAGTGCAATAGTCAATCTTGTGCAGATTCACTATATTCACTAATCCCCCCCCCCCCACACACACACACACACACACACACACCAAAGCCCCAACTTAATTAAATGACTTGTCATTTAAACCCTTCTTTAGTTTCCACTTGAAAAACAGGAAGCAATAGGTGAGAATACGAGGGGAACTCCAAAATGAGAACAGTGTTACGTTGATGGAAGAGTGCAGCCAACTCAAAGCCACTTTAGCTCGATAATCACCTGAAGAACTTATTTCCGACTCATAAGAAAATTAATTTCCCAATGACAAATGATCAAAATAGATATATACACACATCTTACATCAGATGGATATCTAATCATTTACAGAAAACATAAACCGCTGAATGAAAAAAAGACTTTCCCCACAGACAGATTTCATAATTCCTTTTTCTTTCTTTTTTTATTTGCTCTGATGCACACTTGCTCATTTTTCTTTTACCTCTTTTTCTCTGGCGGCCTTCTCCTGCGACCCCTCCTTCATCGTCCCCTTCATCCATCTCTTCTGACCCACTGCCCTCTGAGCCAGAGATCTCTTCACCTAGAATTGCACAAAACACATGTAAAAAGACAGGCTTGGGGGGAAAAAAACGTGTAATCCAAAAAGCAAGATAGTTTCTCATTACCTTCCACTAGTTTCTTCTTGAGCTCCTCAATCTCCTTCTGGAACTGGCGCAGTAGGGCATCCTTAGGATCCTCATTGATCCTGGCTTTGTTCTTTATGTTTTTAGCCCTATTAGCGTAGCGCAGGGTGCTGATGGTTTCATCGTAGTTATAATCTGCGGGACCTATATTTGCACACTGGTGGAGAGAAGTATGTCATTTAAAAGAGAGTCAAAAAACAAATCTGAATGAATGAATTTGATGCTTACAACCCAACGTGTCTACAACAGTTTTCAAACGTTCCCTCTACCATCATGGTCTTGGAGTTTCCTCCCAATGAATCCTGCAGCAGACGGGTTAGTTTAGAGTTCCTGTAGGGCACGTGAGTGCTCTTGCCATCCACCAGGGCAGAGATGACGTTGCCCAGCGTGGAGAGAGAGAGATTGATCTTTGTCGCTTCCTTTAGACGCTGACCCGTGGCTCCAGTCTTGCCCTGTCTCTCCGAGCCCTGGATTGGAAGGTTAGATAGAGATAGATAGATACTTTATTATTTAAATGAAATAAACTGAAACAAAAGAATAACCTTCCAAAAGAGACAATAATAATAATTTGTAAAAGGAGCAGAGGAAGAGGAAGAGCAGCAACATCACAGCAGTACAGGGTTATTATTGTCATTATTTAGCCAGGGATGATTTATTGTAAAGTGTTATTACACTGGGCAGGAATGATCTCCTGTATCGGTCCTTGTGACAGCGGAGCTGAAGGAGTCTGTTGGAGAACTTGCTCCGCTGTCCATGTAGCAGGTGGTGGAGGGGGTGGTCAGGATTATCCAATATGGATACAGTTTCTTCAGTGACCTCCCCTCCACCACCTTTTCCAAGCTGTCCTGTTTGCAGCCAATAATGGAGCCGGCCTTCTAAAACAAGTTTGTTATGTCTGTTGGTGTCACCGGCTCCAATGCTGCTCCCCCAGCAGACCACGGCGAAGTACAAAGCACTGGCCACAACAGACTGATAGAACATCTCCAACATCTTACTGGTGATGGTGATGGTCGGATGCATTGCAGACCATGGGGCAAATCTTTGGGTCAGCTGGTGTCATCTGATTTCCAAGGAAGTGGTCTAATTTTACTCAAGGGGGCCGCATATACATACCGCGAGATCGACCAGATGAAGCTTTCCCATGCGGACATGCTGGTTTCCATCCACACCCTTCTCACTGCACTCGATGGTGATGGTGAAGATAGCGTGAGACCGGGAGCTGTGTTCATTCATGTTTGTTGCTCCAACAGACCCTTCACACAGGGAAATACAATGCAATCAGACACCTAAATTCTATTTTCTTTTGTTAACAGTGATATCTCGTTATATACGTTGGTACGTATGGTAAGGTATGTTGGTATGTTTTTTGTAAAGCTGACATTGTTTTGAAACAGAACCCATAGATAATGTCGTCGTGACACATGGGTAGAGAGGGTAGGCTGGGAACCTCAAGGTTGGTGGTTTGAGTCCTGGCTGCCCCATGTCTCAAGTCAAAGTATCCCTGAGCAAGACACCTAACCCCTAATTGCTCCTCGGGCAGAAACGTAAAATGTTAAAAAAAAATGTAATCTAATTCGCTTTGGATAAAAGCGTCAGCTGAATGACCTGTAATGTAATGTAATAATGTGTAAATAATGCAGGGGGGCTTTCAGGGTCTTGTCAAGCCAGGAAATCATTATCGATTCTCATCGTTATCGAGTATGTGGTTTTACTTCACATTGCAAAGATCAATATCTTATTGAAAAACAGAGCAGTGTTAGATTTTGTTGGTATCTGTTTCTGTGTTTATGCTGTCAGTTATTCCGCTTACTGTTTTTGTGGCCCATCGTCATAATCCTGTCCATGTCGTCAGCTTTGTTCACGACGTAACTGGAGAGGTCTTTGATATACACACCAATGTCTGGTCTTTCTTTCACCTGTGGAAAAATGCAAGCAAATCTTTTCAGCCATGTTCTGTAAGCTTCCTGTTTGGAAATATGTCTGTAGTGCCCTTTATGACAGATCTTCCAAGACATTTTTGGTCTGAATTACTGGTTTAGAGTATAATTTTACCTCTAGCCTCTGCAGTTGGTCCTTGCCCAACAAGTCTCGCACTTCCTCATTGTAAATCTCCAGGTAAGAAACACGAACCAAAAACCTGTGGAAGTTAAATGTTTGTTCAAAGACATAAATTCAAAATGTCAAGGTGCAAATGGTAAAACAGGCATTATAAATACATTCATCAACAACACTTGAACCCCTTAAAGGAACTTTTTTCACATGGAGCCCTTTATTGTGCTTAAGAGACCTAAATGTGAAAAAAATGTCTCCCATCAGCCGTCTAGGCAGAATTTGTAGGAAATGTATTTCCTTTACAAAATGTGTGGGCCAAACTTTTATCGTGCCTTGACAGATAAACATGTGTTCCTAGAGGGCCTTTTCTCAAAATACTAATTTTCCTGATATTCATAAGATAACTTGTTATTAATAGCTTTGCTTAGATTAGACTATGTTTTTAGTTACTTGCACAATGATCAAAAGGTTTGTCTTTACTTGAGTAAACCTCATTCACATAAAACTCCTCAGAACAAAACCAAAACAGTTTGCCAATAGTATCAAGCTATGTCTAAAGACTACTTTATTTAAAACAAATAAAATGCTTGTGCTCGAGTATATTATTAAGATAAACAAGACACCAGCGTTTTTACTTTAATTGACACCGATTTATGCGCAGGGAATCATAAAAATCGCCACAAACTAAATTTTTACCACGCGATTGCTCTCTCACCTTGTGTCCCCTTCTGCCTTGGCAATATGACCAAAAACATGAGCAAAGGAGTTTGGAATAATCCCTCGGAGTTCTGGCACTGCTCTCACGCCCTCCATGGTGAAGGTTTTTCCTGTGCCAGTCTGCCCGTATGCAAAAATGGTGCCTGAAATTGACAGCAAAGCATCAAATCCCAGTTCCATTTACGGTATATAAAAATACGATTAAAGATTGACTTAAAATTATTATTTTTCAAATAGGTTAACAATGAAAACACAAATGCGAGGATTGGATTTAACAGAGCTAGTAGTGTTCAGTTGAGGGTTCATGTTGTAATGTTGATTTAGTCAGTACACTGAGGATGAACATTTTACAGCAATCCTTTATTAATTGAATTATAATTTATGTTACATCAAATTTACCATTGTATCCCTCTAATACTGAGTCGACGATGGGGCGGGCGGTGAGATTGTAGACATCCAGCTGTTTGCTGTCTGGTCCAAACACGGTGTCAAATGTGAAGGACTTGGGAGGCTCATGGGGGCTCTCCAGTTTGTTGACTGTTATGGTCCCACGGATCTCGTCTACGATGACGGCCTGTTTGTGGCTCATCATCTTCTCTTTCTGGTTGAAGGGACGGCATCTTACCACCACCTTGACGTTATCATTGCCCTCCGGCTTGTCGTGCTTATTGCTCTGGAAAACAACGGAGTATATTGAGAGACGATAAACGTCAAGCTATGGAATGCGACAATAAGCTAAACCCTGCAATGACACTGGACTAGACAATTCTAGTGAACAAACCTGGTCGCGATAGCGGCTGTCAGTTAGCTCAAAGGGCTCGGTCAAAACAAGGCTAATGCTAATGCTAATAGCTTCAACTGCCTTGCCTTTGCTGGGTTGCTAGGCAGGCAAACGCTAACGTTACAACCGTTGAAGGTAACGTGAGCTAACAAACGTTAGCTGACTGGCAGAAAAAAAATGAACAATAGCAAATTTGGAAAATATATATTTTTTATCAAATCAACATTATTGACTTGTGTGCCAATTGTTTTTATTGATAATGACAAGGTGTACTATTTCATTGGAAACTAGTAAGCTATTGATGCTAACCGGTTAGCATCACATCAGTGCGGTCGGAGGAAGGGAGGAACCCCTTTGCAATCAAAACAAAAAATACATTCACGTCAACTTACCAGCATTTTGAGAAGGCGTGAGGGCAAATATGGTGTATGTATAATGACAGGCAAATACGTGTAAGGCTTTGTTCATTGGTTATTCGTTATCCCAATTAATTTCCAGCGCAGTGCCCATATCAACGCCTCAACGGTTGTCAGGTCTGTGCCACACTGCGCATGCGCACGCGTTAGGGTGGAATGGGGTTTCAGCTAGTTGGTTACGGTGACTGTTGCAGTGTAGAGGCCACTAAATTGCATCGTTGTGTTCATGTAACAGATGTGTTTAGGGCATGGAAGTAGTCGACTCAGATACTGATCTTTTCAGCATTTATTTGCTCCTGCAGAAGACAATAAAACACAGACATTGCCTTCTGGTCTCCGCATATCAGCTCCCTACACACGGTCTTCAACAGAGCAACACTTCTGTGCAGGAAAAACGGGACTCTACGCAAAATCTAAATTTTAGCTTGTCAAACATCCAAATCATGACAAAAAGGGGAGAACAACAACCCCAAGTGAACAAAATAAACAACAGTGAAAACTGCAAAAATTCCAGCATTAAAACAAAATAAAACAAAGACATTGCCTGGTCTCCGCACATCAGCCCCCCACACAGGGTCTATAAAGGGGAACGTATACGTCAGGACGACCGGATGTAGCGAGTACAAACGGCGCGAAATTAAACAATGACCAAACGTATACTTTTATCGTCTAAAATAATGACGCACCACAGCTGAAAACGGTGGTTATGTTACCCACGGTAATGTGGCTGATGCTAATAGTTATATTTCTAAGAACATAGCGAAATAGTGCGACATCATTCCCTCAACTTACCTTCAACAGAGCAACACTTCTGTGAAGGAATAACGGGACTACGGAAGCCTAGGAGGCGCAGAAGAGATGAATCGCAATTTCCGCAATTTAACTCATCAAAACAGAATTCACACACACACTCAACAAGATTGTTGAGTTGAATAATAACCAAAAATAAGATACAATACATTGAAAATGACCGTGTATTTCTAACTCCGTTACATTCACATATATTATATTAGTCGGCATAGATATAGACAGTGACGGGAATTTTCAACAAGCATGTGATTTAGCTGATGCATGTGATTTAATTATGTGCAATAAAAATGACATTACATTACATGTAATTAATCTGACGCTTTTAGCCAAAGCGACTTACAATAAGTGTCAAAAATCTAAGTAAACTTCTCGAAAATGAGAAGCTGTGGTTTATTTAGAAACAGTAATGTCCTGACATAATGAAGACAATAAGCCCCTTTATTCATCCCACTCGGTACAAAGTAACAAAATATCAGGGATCTAAATATGTGTTTTATATTCCCAGTCAGCGTTTTAGGTTTTTACATCAGCGGAAACCAGTTGACACACAGTGAACTAGTACGGCCACACATGTAGAACATAGGGTCTCTCCTTAAACATGATATGGAGTGGAAATTGTTCAAGAACAGCTATGTTATAGTTTTGTTTTACTTATTATCTTGTATTGCAGTTGAAGTAAAGGATGCAGTCATTTGGCACACAGGCAATTCCTCCACTTAGTTTACATGTGAAGTAAGACACCAATCTACAAAAGTTATGGACGTATAGTTTATTACCACTAAAGCAGTACATATATTTAACTTCATAATTTCTCTAAATATATTTAAATATAGTTATTTTCTTTGTGAGTTTTGACAAAGGCACTCACCAATGCGTTTAACATGGGTATTGAACAGGGAACAGTCAGATGGGATTTTGTGCAAAATCTTATAATAGTACATGTGTAACAAACATGCACATACGTTTAAGAACACACAATATATCTCTGGAGAATTTAACCACACTCTCATAAAAATAAACACTTCCTTCAAAGGATTGTCAATGGCAGCTTAACCCTTTGACCTGCGTCTGTCGTTCAAGTCAGTCTTCCCATTTGGCAGTTGAACACATGAAATATAGACGCATACGTAACGACGGAACCACACAGTCAGCTGAGCCTCTCGAGGACTTGAAGAACAGTGCTGTGGAATAAGCCTGTCCGCCCACTGCTCTCCTGAGTAACCAGAACTCGTCCATCAGGTCGAGGCCTGTGGACGAGGACAACGTCTCCTTGAAGCAGACTGAGCTCTGCGTCCGTTTGAGCTAAATGCGTTGTGGTCACTCTGTGTCTAGGGGGGGGGAGCAAAAAAGTTACAGAGAGGTTTTAGTCCAATACATCTGAACAATGAACATGCTTTAAGTCTACTTTGTCTGTTAATCACTATGCTTCTTATTTTCAAGGGCAGAGACAGACTCGTCGTACCTGCTGGGGTTGAACTGAGCGGGCGCGGCTGAAAGCAACGGCTGTGGCAACATTGTTCTTGGTGTATTAGAATTTGAATCAGAGACAGTGTTTTCCAGGCCTCTCCTAAGAACAGGAGCTTTTCCTTCTTTGAGGATGATCCCCGGTCCGTCTCTCCCCAGCGTGAGCGACGGGGCCCATACTTCTAACGGCGGGGGGCCGGGGCCGCAGTTGAAAGGAACTTGATTCCCTGACGACCACGAGGAGGTGCGACGTCTCGGGAGAGGCGAGTCTTCATCTGTGAAGAACCGCACTGACTTTGCCGGCTGGGGGAATAAAATATTTTCTGTAAGCCACATAACAGAACAGTGATCATATATATATATATATATATATATATATATATATATATATATATATATATATTTATATGTGCACACATATGCACATGTGCACACATATGCACACAGAGTTGTCTTCACCTCTTGCCAGCAATCATCAGAATGACATTACCTTGTCGGCATTATTCTTGTGTGCATTGGGTCTGACTAGAATTGAGGGAGGACCGTTGGGCTGTCTCTCATGCTCATGGGAAGCAGGGAAGCCCCTGTCCTTAAAGACTCCACTAGAGGGCGGTGCGGACTCAGTCATCCAGCCCCGCGCTGTGCCACAGTTGGTCAGGAGGATGCTCTTTTTCTTCCTCTGCACGGCCGGCGAGTAGCCGGACGCCTGAGCTTGTGAAAAGTGCTGCAACTTGGACGGGACGTTCAGATTGGACGGATGGGAGAAATAGTTTGACCCTGAAAAAAATATTCAAAAGGCCCTCATTGACAATTCCATGTAAAATCGTTTTGATTCGATCAGGCATTTGGAAGGTGGACGTGGTTGTTTATCCCTCACCTCTATGAGGGTTAAAGATGCGCCTCACGGTGTCCCAACCCTGTGAACCATCACAAAGGGGCGGTTTCGCGGCAGCAGTGGATGACGCGGGATGCTGCGCTCCATTCGGCACAGACGGGACCTGTCCTGTCGAGTATATCGCTCCATCAGAGTTCACCCTATCAAGAGCAAGGACCACAGCGGGAGTCTTGACCCCGGTGGCTTTCTTTCCAGCTACTGTGTTGTGCTGCGAGGACGCGTTAGCGACTTTGGTCTCCAGGAGTCGTGCCGAGGTTCTGTAGAGAGGCAATGAGACGCTTAGTACATACTGAAGTACTCACAGAACAATACTTGAAATACAGTAGTTAAAAGTTTCTTCGCACAGGCCACCAGACCCAGTTTTATTCTTGTTTCATGATTCATTGAAGTGTGTGCAGGATGACACGTGGTCCGGCCTGTTCATTCAGCTCCCACTTTTCAGAGGTCAAGGGTCACAGCCTCTCACCTGAGCACTGGCGTGATGTAGTTGCCGGGCAGAATGCCCACTTTGCCCGTTTTGAGCGATAACCCACGCAGCCAGCCCTCCTTGAACTTTCCGTAAACTCCCACCATCTCTCCTCTCCTCAGCTCCAGCTCCTCCGGCCGTCGCGGTTTGTAGGAGTACAAGACGGCACACCTGAGGAGTCACATGGGGGGGGGGGCAACCACACTTTCTATGAAATGTGTATAATAGGACACCTTTTTCACTCGAGTGTTTCTTGTTTCTCTATCTATTCATATCTCACCCCTTCAATCTGACATTACCATGCATAATGTTTAGAAACAGTGACTCACACACTGATGGAGAGCTGCTGTGTGGAGGAGTTTTTGCCGTCTGTAGAGGTCGAGGATATTTGGGGGTTCACAAGAGCCATCGAGATGGCGGGTGGAGCATCACTGGTCATCTTCTTCACACTCTGTTCAGGGATGGATAAAGATTCAGTAAAAAAAGGATCTGGAATAGTGTTGCATGGTACATTATTCAAGAGAGTATTTTATTTCTGTTTACCAAAGGAAGTATATAGCATTTAGTATATTTAGTATATAGTATTTGACGTCAGCATGCTAACATGCTCACAATGAGTATGCTAACATGTTCAACAGGAGAACAATGCGTACCACGATCACCTTACCATAACGTTTTGCAATCCATTTAATAGTTTTACTAAAAGTCCAAATTGTCAAACTGATGATGCCGCTAGAGGGAAAGTGAGGAAATCAGCGGAGCCAATAGCGATGAGATATTTCAGGATGGACAAAAGAGGCGGGCCGACTGGAGACTTGTCAAAGTCTTTCAGTGACCCCTTGTGTTCTCGTTTCCAATGTGTGTATCACACATCTGATTTGTTCTATCTTCCTTCTAAATGCTTAGTTTAAGCTCAAACTTCACTAATAAAGAAAACATTGTGTATACATTTGAATTCAAATACAGTACAGTAAATATATACTATGGCTTGGAAGATCTCTTCAATTACTGATGTTAAAAACCACAAACCAAGCGAAAAGTCTCGGTGAACAGCCATATCAAGACAGTTACAAAATCATCCTTTGATCACAAAAGGAAGGAATGTCAAGGTCTAGGACCAATGTCTCAACAAGATTTGAAAAAAACTTGTACATGCATTTATTTTCACTTGACCACTGTAACGGTGTGTTTACGTCTCTGTAAAAAGTCAATCAGTAAGCTGCAGCTCGAGCCGTCACTAGGACCAGGAAGGAGGATCACTCCAGTTCTCAGGTGCCGAGTCCCTCAGCTCCTTTAAATCCAGATTAAAGACCTTTCTGTTGCTGCTGCCTTTAATTGACCGTTTCTGCATTTTGGAATTTTGGTACTCTTAATCTACACTGCAAATTGTATCCATTTAAAAAATTTTAACGTTGCCTTTTTAATGCCTGATTTTCTTTTATGTTTCAATCAATGTTCTTAACTGTTTGTAAATCTCCTTGCTTTATGTTTCAATGTTTTTGTCTGTGAGAAAGTCAAGAGGCTGTGAGTCAGACCCAACACAGTCAGCAGGGAGGGACGCTGAGGTGTGTCGCACAACCGCCGACACTGCACGAAACTCAGTCCCTAATTATTTAATTGCCATACGGAAAAGGCTTGGTACGTTTTATTTTTTCCACTGACTACTAGAAAAAAAATCCCTCCTAACGTTTTCTTTTTGTTCCATTACAGGCGTAGAAAAATTCCCCTTCCTCCTACTATCTACGCGGTGACGTCTATGGAGGGTTGTACTATTTACAGCCCAGCCACTCAACTGCTGCTTAAGGCACTAACGCTGGCCCGTGGGCCCCGGGGCCCCCTCCATGCAGCATGCGCCTGGATCATGCAGCTCTGCCACATTGGGCATTGAGACATTGAGCTGCATTCACACACTACCTCAAAGAAGCACAAAAGAAGTCCTGACCGAGAGGCCGCCCGTGCTTTAAGCACCGCCTCACGTGTCAAAGTCAGAGCCGTGAGGTAAAGCTGGATAAACACATGATATAATGTCCTGAAGACATACCGACCTCCCATCACATGCAGGGGACTGTATGGACGAGCAATAATGTCCCCCTAGAGTTGTTTTGTCTATGAGACTTGTGTCTCATTTACACGGGAAAAAGCAATTTCATGAAGAAAAGATAACTTTGTGCCTCTGAGCATCTTTGTGTGAAATTAACTACTTTTTCATTCATTAAGTAATTTACATCTTATCATTACTATTGAGTTATTTTTTTATTCTTGTCTTGAACATTTTTAGATTCTGCTTCAGTTATCTGGTTTAAAGTGAAAATTTTCAAGAATGAATTATGTCAAAACGAGACATGTTTTCAACTAGATTGACGGGATATTACCAAACTCCGGGAACCGGTAGCTCGTTTGAGATGAATGTATGATCCTGAAGCATCATGGGAAACGCCCAATTGTTCCCTGGTCCAAGATCCCACTGGATCATGTGACAGTAAAGAGACATTATGCTGCTTAAAAAGTTTGAAAATGTTGGATTTCCCTCATATTCTGCTGACACATGTTGTTTTATAAAAGTATTTCCATTTGATTTCATGAGCCAAGAGAAGCAGAAGTTGGGTTCTGAATTTGAGGTGGAAACATAAATATTTTAGGTTGTCTTAAAATAACTTATAAAGATTGAGGTTTGTTGTCAGTATACCAGATGTACTACAATTTTAAATAATACTATTTTTAAATAAAAGCTTTCTATTTGGGATTAAGATCTGACAACAATTTTGTTTTAAAGTACAAAATATATTCTGGCCAGACTAATGGAAAGTGTCTGATTTTAAATGACTGCAGCGTTTTTGCACTTCTGTCAGAGGCAAATATGGATTATTGTCCATTAGTGATTCATTTGGCAATTACTTCAATCCCTTAGTCTGTTGGTGAAATATGCCAGACATCTCCAAAAGCCCACAGCCACATTGTCAAGCTGCGTGTTGTGTCTAAGAAGGTATTCAGTTGACTATTTGAAAGAAAGAATAATAATTAGACTGTTTTTGCTTTCCACACTAAAGTTTTCTCTTACATAACCGTGCCAATATTCACACTAATACGCATCTTCTCATCCCACAGTCTGTGGGATGAAACATCCCTCCGTGAAACATTGGAGCCAGAGGTGAGAGCTGATGCCGCTCTAAGAATAGCCCACGCGCTGCCTTGGTCAGTGGGGAGATCAGCCTGGGCTTGAGGGACGGAGCCCCCGGCTCCTTTAAAAAGGGTGCGTGGCTTGTCTGCCATTACTGGCCCACCGATGTGAGACTGAGTGTTACCTGCTTAGTGAAGGGGAAAGAGTTTGAAGGCAGAGGAGAGAGAGAGAGAGAGAAAGTCTGTTATGTAACCAACTTCACCAGTGACTCATCATCATCATCAGCATGAGAGAGATAAGCAGACACACTGAGGGACTCTCCGAGCTTCCCACTCCCTCCCTTCTCCCTACGTCTTGTGTTTTGCCCTTTGGCAGTGAACACATTTTGTTTTCCGTTTCTCCTCCCAGATCGATGGCATTCTAAAGTTCACATTTTTCCTCTCACCTTTTCCTCTTAGGGTCTTATCTCCCCCAGTTCCTGCTTTTGTTATCTTGTTCTACGGTTTGCTCTTGCCTTCCTCTCCTGCTTCGCTCTCCAACCCGCATGAGCATTCTTGTGCTCTGACATGTATAATCGCAGGGTAGAGTGGTGAAATTTCAACTGAATCAAAGGAAATCATTACCTCGGGAGGGGGCAACTGGCAGCAGGTTACATTATTAAGACTCGCAGAGGCTTTTACGTTGGCAGTGTACTCAGACGCTAGCTGGCTCTGACTTATCTGACAATTTCTTACAACATAAATAATGTCATAAATGTCTCCGGCTGCAGAATTGTGAAATACATCCATCATAGCTTTCAAGCTAAGTTAAATTAATATTCTTTTAACAGTTTCTATCACTTTTGCCTCCTGCTGGTAGTCGGAATATTACTGAAAACATTTAAGTGCTCACAAAAGTATTTCATGTTCATCAGCCAATCATCATCCTGCCATGTCATACAAGTTTTATAAAAAAATATGCAGGAAGTATCTTGATCACATGAAAAGAGGTCTCAAATTGACAGCTTGAAATTTCATTGATGCCAAAATGTGGCCCTGAAAGAGCTTTTAGAAACAAGAGAAACTCTACTAGAGAGTATCACACACTCTTCTAGGGAGTAATATAGAAGACATCATAGCAGTAAAGGCAAGCTCCGTTGCTCGGTATTGCTGCATTGAAGCTATTAGCAGTGCTTTTATTAAGCCTGTATGTGTTTTACACTCCTCATTCTGGCAAACGGTCCAAAAGTCCAAAACAACGTCCCCTTATGCAATGAATAAAGTAACTATCCATCAATATATATATATATATATATTATATATATATATATTTCCCATAGCTGAAGAAAGACAAAGGACACAATCCGTGTTAGACCGCTATTCATCTATGGGGGGATCCCTGGCTTATGTCCCAGAACTTTTGATTAAAGAGCTTTTCAGAGTTTTGGTCCACTAACATCCGGTCCTCGGTGCTTTCATATCTCCTCCTTTTCCACATCTGTGTTGTTTTATTACTGTAGCGGACAAAGTAAGGACGATGCCTTTCTCTCATTCGTTTCAAATTCACAGAGTAATTGGCTCCCTCTCGGCGTCCCTGAGGACAACTCTCCCCCCAGTCACCCAAATAAAAACAACAGTCATCTCACAAAAGCCATTTTCTGTTAAAAAAAAACAATTATAGAAAATAAAGCAAAGCCAACCACGCATTGAAGCTGAGTTGCCACACCGTTCCTCTAGTTTGCACCAAGGCAGAAATAGTCGGCAAACAACTCACCTGCAGAGGCCTGTACGCAGAGTCAGAGTGCCGTCTGGTTCTCTGCGAGTTCACTCTGGAGGGGTGAGGGGGGCCGCGGGCAGCGAGAGATCCGGAGAATCGGTGCGACTGACCCCGGCGGCTGGAGCCGTCAGAGGCGCTGATGTCGGACGCCTCTCCTTTGGCAGCAGGGTAAAATCGGATGCTGCTGGCTGCGGGCTGCTTCTGCTGGTTGGAGAGGGGCAAAGCATTGGTGGCGGGCGTCTTTGCTGGGAACTGAGGGGCTCCGTAATGGCCGGTCCGATTGGAGACGTCAGTGGCCTTGTCTTTGCCCCCGCTCCCGGTCCGATGGTGAACGTCTGCTGAGTCACTCCCCCTCTGATTCCTTCCCTCTAGCCGTTTGGCAGCCACTGAGTTTGGCTGAGAGACAAAGAGAAACCACAGTGTGAGTCGGGATTAATCCCAACGCAGGGAATAGTCGGTCCTCAGTCCAGGAAATCTCTCTCCCATCTTCCTCCTACCTGCGACTGCCGCCTGTCAACTTCTGCTCCTGTTGATCAGCGGCTCTCTAAAGGCGCCCACTTATCTCTACTCCACTCACCCCCTACAACTTGTTGGACAGGCGGGCAAGGCAGGAGCACAGCTACCAGCCAGTAAGCCACAGAGGGTGGACTGGTGCCGAGAGAAAAGCTGCACAGGCAGGCAGGCAGGCAGGCAGGGTTAATGCTTTCACTCCCCGCAGTGATGTGCCGCTCTGCCACCGGAGCAAAGAAAGCTTTACTGTGTCTTCACGCTTGGCTGCACGACAGGAGGATGGGCTCAGAAAGGAGATGCGAGAGAGGAGGAGGAGGAGGAGGGTGAAAGAATAGAGTACAGAGGTAGTAGAAGGCGAAGAGCACCACTGAGGCGGGGCTTCAGCAAAGTACATGGGTGGACAGGAGACGGGGAAGGGCATATGAGGAGGAGCGGACCAATAAAGAGAGGAAAAGAACCACAGTGTTGGGTGAACCTCTGGCAAAAAATGCAGATGACATGTGAGGGAAGCAAACAAGAACATCAACCCCGTTGAAACAACAGTTGCAAATTGAATTCCTGGAGGCAGAAAGTACAGAAGAAAACAAAAGGCACTCAAGCACTGCCACAACCTGGGAGAGCCGCGTAGTCACACGCTAATGAGCAGCTGCAGACGCAGCACGGCTCCACAGATTATCTCCCTGCCTCAGCACTTTGCAGCGCGGGACTGACATTTACGGATGAGTCAAAGATTTGAATGACCAGTGACCTGGAATTAATGACATCTACGGTTCAATTCATTACAAGAGGTGCGCCGTCAGAGCAAAGGGCCAAACGGCAGGTGTCAACCTTGATGGCAGTGGGGAAAAGGGAATGGGATGGTGGGGGGGACCCAAGACAAACTCACCTCTACATACTGCAGAGGGCAAATTCCAACTTTCTCCCCCCGCTTGGCTTCAATCCAGTGTTCATCCACCCGTCTGATGACAGTAAGGATGTCTCCCTGTCAACCAGAAGTCAGAGACACACAACTGGACTCAGGAGAGAAGTCGTGAGAAGGTGAGTGGCAGAGAAACTGCTGGAACAACCCCCCCCCCCCCCCCCAAAAAAACAAAAAAAAAAAAAAAACAGGAAGCCAGTTGCTTATAACAGAGTGTGCTCGCCCTGAAGACTGGGCACTCTGTGAGCACTACATCTCTATTGCAGCATGTGACGTCCACCCGTCTTTGTACCCGTCGGTCCGGCCCTTTCTGTGACCAGGCTCGCTCTTAAAAAAACAAACATTTGACCATCTGCATTAAAGCTGGGGAAAAAAAGAACTCAAGTGTGCTTTAATGGAAGACACAAGTACTGGGGCCCTTATGTAACGTGCCTCAGAAATCCTTCAGTGCTTGTAAAAACCACTGCAGCAGAGGTCTTAGCCTGCGGCTCCGCTAGTCTATCAAAGCAGGGGAAGTCAGTAAGCAATGATGTTAACAAATAAAACATCTAATTAAAAAAGAAAAGAAAAAGAGAATCATGAAATTACAACATGTAAATATTGTAAGAACTGAAGTCGATCAAGTTGATTGAATATCTTTGGGTTTTGGACGGTTGATCAGACAAAACCTTTCATCACTTTACTTTTACTTACTGATTAAGTGTTTACTCAATAAGCAATCAAATAGGTAGGTCATAAAAAATTTTTTTTCCACAGCACGTAACTGAAATGATTCATCCATTCAATCATAGACTATGGGTTTCTGTCCCCGGGTAATGCATCTCGTCTCAGAATCATTCACACGAGTGAACACTCATACAGTATAATTAAAAGTTAAATAGCACTTTTGCCCTTTTTTCCCCACAAGGCCGATGCCTCGTTAATCATTTAAAAGGTTAAAGTCAAGTGTAATCGTTGTCTTTGTGGATCTATTAAAAAGAAGGAAACCCTTCGAGGTTTAAAAAACATCTAGTCGACGGTGAGTAAAGTGTTGCTGCTGTGTTAAGTCAGCAGTTCGACGAGTCAGACCTTGACGAAGCTGAGACCATATTTACTGTCTTCCAGGTTGCTTTCTTCGGGGTTAAAGTCGTACAGCGCCCTGCAGAGGGCCGGAGGTTGGGACTGCATCGGAGGCATCTGGCTGACGGCCTGCAGCGACCCCCCGGCGGCGGACGCACCTCTGCCGGTGGAGGCTGGCGCCGGCTCTGCTGCAGCATCTCCTCGTTGGTTTCGCATCGAAGCTTTGTGAGCAAGCTGGAAGACAGACGGGACAAATAACGGCTCCTGTGTGTTCAAATGAAGAGGTGACAGTATGGCTACATTTTGAAATAATGCCATTTATTGTGTCCTTTACTTTGACTGTGACAAACAGCAGCCAGGGCCTTCACGCAGATCATTGTTTGAAAAGAGAAGCTAGTTAATCTTAAGCTTCTCCCACACTACTCCACTTCTCCGCTCTCTTCACTGGCTACCGGTGGCCGCCCGCATCCAGTTCAAAACATTGGTGCTCACGTACCATGCTGTGAATGGATCGGGTCCAGCTTACATCCAGGACATGGTCAAACCCTACATCCCAACCCGTACTCTCCGCTCTGCATCTGCAAAACTACTCGTCCCTCCCTCACTGAGAGCAAAACACTCGACTAGGTCTCGACTCTTCGCTGTCCTTGCGCCGAAATGGTGGAACGAGCTCTCTGAAGACACCAGGACCGCAGAGAGCCTTCACATCTTCCGCCGCAAACTAAAGACACACCTCTTCAGACTCTACCTCGACTAAAGACTAACAAATTGTAGCACTTAAATTGTACTTGCAACGTCACTCATCTATAGCAAATTGTAAATTGGCTTATTTGAGGAAATTGCACTTTCTTGTTTCTTGTTCTCCTGAGTTTGTACCCTATGGTTGAAATGCACTTATTGTACGTCGCTTTGGATAAAAGCGTCAGCTAAATGACATGTAATGTAATGTAATGTAATGTAATGTAATGTAAAGTTAATCTGTAAAATGCTGCAGTCCAGACACACGTTGGAGGCTCTCGGTCGGTGGGATAGTCCCAGTGGGGATTTTAGTTTTATTATTATTTATTATTTTATTAAGAGGACAGGTCAGAAAGACCTTGCATGTTCTAAACCGACCTTGTGCTGAACAGACAAAGGTGTGAAGTCGTTGAACTAAACATCAACATTTGATATGACCCATAAAATGAGTCATTTATTCACGCATTATGAATACTTATGTATATTACGTCATTTGAATAGTGGTCTTTGAGATTAACGGGAAAATTTGTGATTTCCATCCTGACGGTGGAATGATCACTAACTCCCCCTTGCTGACGCGGCTGCGCTCTATGAACTCTATAAACTCTGGCTGAAGATTAGGCTACAGATTTCAAGCAAACGTGGGCAGTTCATGCACTGGACTGTAGTGTAGGCCGGTTTCTGTGCTTCTCAGCACCTCGGAGAATAAAACACCGGCATCAAAGGAAAACTGCGATACGATTTACTGACTGTGAGGTACCTTTATGAGACTTGGAGCTCTGTTGGGTTTTCGTAACTGACCGATCTGCTTTAAACAGATAAATCATGTTAAACCTTCACCAGAAGGTGTCATTTTTACATTATCACGCAGAATTTTTCTTCTGTCAATATTATGCATATGCTAAACATAATTAACTTATTTTTACATGTAAAACTTTTTATGTAACATTATTGTTATTTATCAAATTTCCTTTGCAAAAATACCACACAATTTCACACTGCTGATTTGCGTAAGCATGCTGCATAGTTGGTGTCAGAGCTATAACAGAGCTGCCCCGATTGAGCAAGAGGGGCATCAGCAGTTTTGTGGTTTCCTATGTTTGCTATGATGCGAGAAGGAAATCTTCCGCCTTCATACAGGTTTGATCACTGACTCACTCCTCGTCAGACCCCCCAAAAAAACGGTCGCAGATTGATAAATTCCCACTCTAGCTCTTCTTATCTCAGCCACAGAATCACATTAAAGATTATTAATAGGACAGAGATGAGACACGAGGTCTCATTTCATAGATTCCGAGGAATTAATAATAAAGCCATCACAGGGCGGGGAGACGAGACGCAGTGAGGAAATATACACGTCTCGACTGTAGGAGATTTAGCCACACTGTCTACACCGTAGCCGCAGCTAGCCGTGTCTTTAACCCGTGTGGGTGTATTAGGACAGTGTGGGCCTTGTTGCACGTTGTCGTGAAATATTGCGTTATGGGAATGCTGGAATGATTTCTTTCTGGTATCGAATTTACATGATGAGCCAAAACCTTCATGTCGTTCATGGTGCTATTATCCATTAAACGTTTCCAGAAAATGTACATAATGCAGTACTACCCTGATAGAAAAAGCGTGTAAGCGTGGGTTTTTCTTGGAGGTCATGTTCGAAATCCAAAGCAAAGAGGAATAAATAAATAGATAAAAGAGGGGCTTTGGAAAAGGGGCCGCATTCCATGTGTAAATAAAAACATGAACAACACTGTGTACTTTATTACAGTAGAATAATTGGTAAATTACAATAGGTTGTGTCCATCAAAGGATCGTGTAATTTACTGTAATACAAACACAAACTCAAATCATTGGTTGGCCAAAGTCGTTCTCAAAGGTGTGCGGAGGATTAGGCCGGGGTCGTTCACTGACCTCATTGGGCCCTTGCTTCTCCCTGTGTTGACTCCCAAGCTGCTGATGACCCTCTAAGACCTCCAAGCCCTCCATGACCAAGGGCGCCACGTAGCGGGACGTCTGCCTGTCTCCGCCGGGGGCCCCCGGCGAGCCCCGCAGCCCACCCAGGATCCGCACTAACAGGAGGTTTGCAGGAAGCTCCTCCGCGGTCCCGGCCGGGGCAGGAGCACCACACTCGGGGCAGAGCAGCTGGGGGTGGGCTCCCTCCTGCCTCCGCAGGCAGGACACGCAGAACGTGTGCTGGCAGGGCAGGACCTTGGGCGACTCGTCCAGCGGCTCGTAACACAGGGGGCACTCCAGCAACTCACTCAGAGCCAGCTCCTGCATTTTAAAAGAACCCCCTCTGTTTGGGAGCAGGGCTCCTGCTGCATCCCAAACACTGTAATCCACCATGCTGAGAGGAGGGGGGTCAGAAGTTAACGTCAGAAGAATGAATGAGTTGCCGATCAAAGTCCTTCTTTGGTATATGGAAAAGGGGCAATAATATTCGAAGGTGACACTGTACCTTGGTAGGGTGGAACTAAAGAACAAACGCCGCGCAGTGAGCGCGATACACGCTGCTTGTTTACAGGTGTCGCTGGCTCACCTGGACAGGTGAGCCAGCGACAGAGGAGGACATTTCCACCGCGTTTGTCTCGATAACACCGGAGTTAGGAAACACGAAATACTCACACGCGTGTCCGTGGACAGCCGCAGCGATATTCCGCAAACTGCGTTGGTTAAGAAAGGCGTAACTTTTCCGCCGCTGTCGGCGTGACGCAGCGGGCTGCGGAACCCGGGACAATGCTACTCGCTGGGCGGAGGAGGAGCGCGCGAGCTTCTCCGTGCCCAAATGAACGTATGAAGTATGACGTCACAAGAAACACCTTCGGCGTTCAGAAAGAAAACAAACAAACTATCGAAAGGTCTCCAGCGCAACCGGCTGGCTACTTCATCTGGCTCCGAATCCAACTCCAGTGTCGTGTCCGACACAGTTTAACCCTTGATCAGCCTTTAGACGTCACTTTTATTAACACTTTTATCCAAATAATCGGTTAAATACATCTGGGAATCCTGTCAAAGCAACAGTTCATGGTTTGCTGTACTACATTTTAAATAATTCTGAATGTAAAAGTTGTTTAAGGGGTGTTTTACATTAAATCGGTCTGAATACCTACACAATTCAGACTTACTGCTTAATAATTTAGACATTTATACGTCCCACTATTTCTAAAGTTGTTCTGTTAGTAACATTTGTATCACGTCAAATGGGCAGAAAGAGGGAACACAAGTGGAGAAGTCCGCAGCTCTGTCATGTGACATGGTCTCCCTCTGCTGGTGCATTCAGGGACCAGCTCTTCAAATTCACTGCAATTGTCAGCTCAGTCCACTGTATGGCCGCTGAGCCAAGAAAAAACAAAAATCACATCGTTTAATATTCTCTGCTAGAGACGCAAATCAGTCACAGTTATCGACGGTTTTCTTAATCACCAGGTTAATCTATTTGCGTTATAATTGTTTGGATTTCGTTGCATGCTCCAGACTCCACATTCTCCCTTTTCTTGCATTCTAAGACTAAATAATTTATACATACTGGCTATGTACAGAAAGTTCAGGACATCTGTTTGAATTTTTCAAGCAAGCATGAATCTTTTATCTCTTTCTTCACATCAGCAGAACTCGGGGAATTCTAAAAATGTGCATACGGCTTTTTATAGAGAGAGTGAGAGCAGACAGAGAGAGAGAGAGAGAGATTGGCCATGACTTATTTACATGTTCATATCAATGTTGTTACAGGCCCTTCCTCTCAAGCCTCTTACAGACTTTGGCCCTGAAAAGGAGCCTAAAGAGGACGTGATTTTTAGTTCTGTCTGAATAATGGTTCGGGGCTTTTTTCTCAATTGAAGAGAAAACAGAGGAAGTCGTCAGTGCATAAGTGCTCGTCAGCTTCTCACAGCCCGACGGTCAGTCTGGCTTCAGCTGAGGAGCTCTGGATGCTGTGGGACGAGGGCTGATGTTTGATGGTTCTGATACATAGTACATCTGATGGAGAGGGAAGGGTCTCCCCGGGGAAGCCTCGTAGCTTGGTGTGCTGTCTCTCAGAATATCATGTCTTGTCATAAGCTGCTGTGAGGGAGGACTGCCTTCTTCTCCAGCCTTCATGTTTTATTTAAAATGCTGTCTCACTCAGAGATGCCTGCTACCTCATCGAATGTGATCCGTCTCAACATTGCCTTTCCCTCTTTTTTTCACTTCTTCCTCTCCCTCTCGGCCTGTGCTTGATTATTTCGTGTACATGCAGATGTGTTTACGCAGTTTCAGCAGTTTAATTCGAACGTGGCGTCAGTGAAGATCCTTGTGCGGCATTTGAGGAGGATTAACCAAAAATCAAACTTTAGGTGCCACAGAGCCACCTAATTAACTTTCACAGGAACTAATCCTCCAGCCAAAACTTAGTCGCTGTCATAGTCGCAGCAGTTTGCCAGGTGCTGGTTAGCCAACTCTTTGCTGTTGTTTCACATTCTTGTCTGTAATGTGTGGAATAGCTTCGGTAAAAGCCGGCTTCTTCTCACGGGGTTAAACATGAGAGGTTGGGCGGTTTCTAGGAAAAAACAAATTACTGCAGCGCAACTGGTTCGACCGGAACATCTGCAGTTTTTTTGCAACCGCATGTAGACACCTCACCTTCCATGCAGGTCAGGTGTCTAATCCCACTGTCTCACAGGCAAAGTCCAGCTCACAAAAGATTGGTGTGTTACTGGCCTGCTGTGTGCTGTCAGGCCGTGAGAACTGACGACCGGTTGAAAGGCCGGTAATGTGATTTAGGAGTGAAAAATGTATTCAAGCAGCATCTGCCAGATTATCATTAACATCCGTCCGTAAAGCGACTTCCAGCACATTTTGTTCTGCCTGGTCCTCCTCTGCTAGCAAATTGAAAAGCTATACATATTTCATATTTGATAAATAAATAAAACAACTTCTTTTCTTACCGCTGGGTAATGCACTGAGGTGCTCCTCTAGGCAGGCGCTTATTATCTTGGCACTGACATTGTTTCGGTCAACGCTAAATGTGGTTTGTAAATAAATATAAATAAATATTTATTTTTAAATAGAAGGTAGTTCTGTTCTGGAAACCCTATAAAGGCATATTTCAGTACTTCTTAAATAATGTTATGAATTAAATATTTTGTACAGTGTCAAAGTTTCTCAATGTTTCTCCAGGAAACCAAAAATGTAATTCTGTCTTTGCTCCATAGCCTCCAAAATAAACTGTACTCATCTATGTGTTTTCTGAAGTCGCCGGAATGACCTACTTTGAGTGCTCTCTGTCAGCCGGGTGGGTCCCATTACCCACATGGGACCTATACTTTATACCGCTCTCTGCAGGCGGTTTGAATCAACAGCCGTCTGAGTCATGTGACTTTACACCCGATCTTACATTTGCGATTCTGCGTAAAAGTTACTCAACACAACTAAAAACAGAGCTTGAGGGAAGCGGTGCTGGTCCTCGTCTTGGAGCTCAAACGCTTAAAGTCAAAGTAAAGTTTGAGCTTTTCTGTGACGTGGTGCTGGTTTGTCTGCAGGAACAATGGTGCTGAAGTCGTTTGGTGTGCAAATGCTACAGCAGCTGTTTGAGTTGGAGATGCGCATGAGGAAAACTAAAAATAGGACGCGCACACCTCTGAGCCAGCTGCCTCTTCACTTCCTTTGGGACTACCTTTGCGTCTCTCCTTTTTAGGCCTCTTGCTCTCCTCCCTCTCACAGAGTGGCTGTTGTTAGCCCTCACTTTCTGTTCTCACACTTTTTTTTTACTGTCTGAATCCGGCCTTGTGTAATGGGACACCACTCCCCCCACCGTGGTCCATTATCCAACCTGATCGAAAACTAGAACACAGTATGGCACAGTACTAAGAAGGTTGCAGTCCTCTTGGACCCAATTATTTGAGGAGAACACAGAAGTGGATATCCATCCCAACTGAGGAAGATCTGTTGGTAAAAATGATACTAATATCAATTGGAAAAGGATCGTCGGATGGATGCCCAACATATTTGGAATCCATGGCTGGTGGGATTTCAAGCCTGCCTTGGTGCAGTAGGAGCTTTATCTTCTCTTTTCACACAAGCTCCATTCCAACTGAACAGACCGTAATTTAATCTGACATCTGACATCTGACAATGGTTATTTTTAGCATTACCTATAAGTAGTACTTTGGCAAAACAGTGTAAAAGAGAGATAGTTTAGCTTCTTCCTTTGTTGTGTAAAAATTGCTGAATTGAAGAGGGAACATGTCCAAGGGATGCATGATTTGGCAAAATCCTGGATTTTATGCAATACTAACCGTAACCGGAAAAGAAATTGTTATTCTGCAGAGCATTAATTCAAAAGAAAACAGAATTGCAGACAAACATGTCGCTCTTTTCCATAAAGGGCAGAAAATCAAGCAGGCGCATGTTTGCTGCATGGCGCGTGAATAGAAAAGTAGCCTGTTTATCGTCCCCCCACCAGACTCTGTGAACAAGAAAATTCTTTTTCACAAAGTAAACGCAGTAACTTGATTAATATGGCCTGCCACATGTGTGCTGGGGATGAAAGTAATTCACATCTGAAATTACCGGCCAAGTTTCTTTCACTCATCTCCTGTGGAACAAACCCCCTCAATCACCCTTTGATGTGCTTTTGTGTCTAATTCCCATTCAGTGGGCAGATACACGCGTCACGCTGTTTGCTTGGTATCAATTTTGGAGAAAGACTCGGAGCATTCAAAATAGGTTATGCAACCTCTGCCTTTCTCTCTCTGCCTCATTGTTATTCATGCGCGTTCGTTACAAAAACCCATCCAGAGCTCCAGCAAAATCCTATTGTTTGGGAACTTACCTGATGGGCCGATGTACAATTGCGAATGTGAAGGTTGAAGAAGCAAGGAAAGGTAAATCTACGCGTGGAAGTACTATATCAAAATACTAGTGAAGCTCTTTTGCCAGTCAAGCCTCACTATACTTTGACATTATTCAAGAGAGAGTCATGGCAGTGATGAAAAGTGTGTCAGAAGTGATTAAGGTAAATGCCATCAAGATGGCAGATCACGACTCTTGTTGAACCGCGGACGTAATCTGCGTGGCGTTTAAAAACAAGGAAATGTCACCGGTCCCTTGGAGGGCTTCACGTATGTGCTCCAGCCCCCTTCTCACTCCCACGCACACACACGTACACTGCAAGCTGCACACTCAGGAACTGAATACTATTTGTTCATACTCACTTTCTCTCACGGTTTGGGTGTTTTGGCAACAGGTCTGCTATGTAGTCCGGCATAACATTGACAGTCGGATTTCTAAACACTGGTGTGTTATTCTCTAATAGTCAATCCTGTGGAAAGCGGGGTGTTCTTCACGTACGTCGCCTCTCTATTTTCTCGAGGATTTCGGCTCCTGCCCAGGTCTATAGTCTCCTTCATCTAAAGTTAATCACTCAGCAGACCTGTCCCTGACTCATGGTTGCCACCCAAAATGTGGATTTATCACACACACACACACACACACACACACACACACACACACACACACAGCTCAGTATCACGCTGCGCCTGACTTTACTGCGCTCTCACCTTGACTTCGCTTACTTGATCCGGAACTCTTGTAACTTAAAAAAACAACAACTATCCAGATGTTGATTTTTTCACACAGCAAAATGAGACTTAAATTAAAGCAAATGATAGGCGGAGCAGATGTGATCAGTAATACTCTTGAGGCTTTGGTTCAGCAGTGTAAGGAGGTTGTAGGTTAAAACTACACATGTAAGCTCTTTGATTGTGTGAAGGACTGTGATAGACTGTGAGGCTCACTAATCGACACTGCCCTAATTTGGAAATCAGTTATTGTTTGGTGTGGAAGCAGGCCACGATTTATTGCCCCAATCTTAATCAAAACCAATCACCCGGGCTTTCAGGTCCTGAAGGATTATTTTT